GGAAGATTGAGCCAAGTTCTGGTGGTGCTGCTGGAGTGTTAAATTAGGCATGGAGTATTTCATCAGCTCCTAACGCCACCGAGAAAGTCTTTGATGTGCCCCAGACGGGGTGTCCCTCACTTTACAACAAGAGCCAAGACAGCTTAATGAGAAAGAAAAAGAGGGAGAGGATAGAAAGCTGGTTCTACTTTATATTAGATGCCTTTACTAATATTTAAATGAATCATTTGATACAATGCATTTATTGTGTAGATTCATGTTTTTACATTTGTGCAATTACATCTAAATTTCACCGTTAACACTTTCCTTACATGTTACACCCTTAAAGTGCAAATTGCAGGTTAACCACCACAACCAATTAATGTGTAAATTAAACTGCTCAATATGTATATTTTTAAAAAATTTCATTCTTAAAATGTGTTAAAAATAACATTTATTGGGGTTTCTTTTTACAGTAATACCCCATAATAATAATATTCCCCATAGTCTCCAGCACAGTTTTGTGTTCCATTGGATACTTTCCTGTTCTTTGTCGAGGTGTGTCCTTTAACATCTGTTCATCCATCCACAACCTCCACTCCATCTGCAATACAGAGACTGTTAGTATAGTTCCCATTTCATTTTATTGAAAACTCTATTAACTTTATCCCTGTCTTGAGTCTCTGTTCCATAACAATATACTCAATTTCTATACTGAGTAAACTATACTATAGTTTCTTCTGCTGAACACAAAGGAAGATGTTGAAGAACACAACGTGCTGTGAACAAGTCCAAAATATGTTAGGTGTCAAACTAAGGATAACAAAATGTATTATATTGGTGAAAGTACAACTATTGACAGTTTAGTTCATTTTATTTTAGGTTATCTTGGCGTAAATTTATTTATTTTAGCAGAGAAAACCAAGCTAATTGCTAAGTCGGCTCATGAAGATGCATGAGGTCGTTCTGTTGGCCCTCTGAGTAAAATGAATGTGTTGTTGCAAACCTTTGTGCAAACTTTTATGAGCAGAAAAACACATTTAACTGCTCACTGCACTAGAAAATGAATTCAGTTGTGGGCTAAAATATGCCTGAAATGAACACACAAATGAGATATTTACAAAAAACCCTCGCTTGTGTATTTCTGAATATGTAGATTGTATTCTCTTTCTGTACAGGGGAGATGCATTTAGATTATCTCACTAAGCATTGCCAAAAGTCTTATGTATTGTTGAAACTAGATTAATGTCAAAGCTGTACAATGAACACTAAAATGATTTGAAAATGTGCAGTCTCTCAGGTGCAATGAAATGTGTGTGAGGGCTAGACTTCCCGATGCCCCAGATTTCAGATGACATTTGTGAAAATGTTCCCTGGTTTCTCTATTTCAGGCTCATGCTTTTCAATGGAGTGACTGTATTTTAAAGCATGCTGGCTTGAGGCAGGTTGACAAAAAACATTAGTGTTTCCAGCACATTGATGACCTCAGACCTGCCTTCCCTTCAGCCAATGTGTTTTATAAGGGGACATCTACCGAGACAGACAACAGATAATAAGCCTGATACAAACAAACAAAACTAAAGATGTTTTAATAGCGCACCAATCAGTAGCAAAATCAGCCTGCAAACTCTTAGCGGTTAATACTTAATTTACCAGCATCTATTATTATTTTTAGTACTTCAAACGAAACAAAAGATACATGATTGCGGAGAACAATAATTCACTCCTTTCCGCTCACGGCACTAAATGAATGAATAGAACATGGTTTTCAAACTATGGGTCATGTAAGAAATATGAAACATTGTGTCTTCTTTGTAAACAAGACTGGATTTGCAGACCGAATAAGAGTAAAGAACGGTGCTGTGCCGTCTATATTGGATCCGGCAGGAATGGCGCAACGCTCGGACTCACACGAACTTGTATGGGCGAATCATTCCGGTTGCTATTTTACAACATTTGACGTTTTCAAAATAATTTCCCCCTTGTGCACCTACGAGTAGTTGAAACTCATTATAATATGCAAAACTGTTATCCACTCACAGCAGTGGGCGTTTACTTCCAAGTCTTCAGCGCGAGACGCCCATGAAAACTAAGCGTTTTTTCAGGCTCAAAACTAGGGTAGAAAATAGCCTATTACTCATTCATTTTGATGTTTTTGAATGCAAAAACCAAGTGAACGTCATAAGTTGACCTCAGACAACAATATAATAACATTTAAAAAGCCAGTTCATAACCCCTTTAATGAATCATTCAAAAAACACATGGCGTGCTTCTCAGACAGAAGGCTGCGTCTCCTAGATAGGTTGCATATCTCGGCTGCCATATGCACTGCCAAATCAACTTTTTAACTTTTTTTCGCCAGGCAGTGTATTTTTATACATTTTAGGTGTTCTTACTAATAAATACATGCTTTTTATACCTTTTTATAAGCCTTTGTTGCCAGTGTTTTTACAGTAATTTCCTGTTTGATTAAAACTTTTAATGTTTTTAACCCACCATTTTTAGGGTGTATTGTAAATTGAAATAATCACAGAAATGTACTGCATGTATTTATTTTTATACAGTTAATGGCTGTTAAGGAATTTCACAGTATAAACAGCCCATTCTCACCCCCAATGCGTCACTAAACTGACGCCTTGGGAAGCATATGACCATGCTTCAATATCTGACGCTTTAGGCGCCCTTTAGCGTCAGTTAGATGACGCCCTAGGATCGCGTGTACCCTACCCCCACCCCACACCTAAACCTAACCGCGTCCTCTAACTGACGCTTTCCTTAAGCGTCAGTTGGATGACGCCGTAGGATCGCGTCATGTAAGTGACGCTAAAGGGCGCCTAAAACGTCAAATATTGAAGCATGGTAAAAGGTGACGCCTTGGGGTGAGAATGCGTTGGTATAAATGGCATAGAATTACAGAAAAAATTGCCAGTATTTTACTGTAAAATAAAACAAAATTGGAAAATATTTCATTTTAAGGCAATAAGCTGTAAAGCAATTTCAGAGTATTCATACCGGTGATTTGTTGTTGTTGTTGTTTTTGTTTTTTTATCTCTCTCTGTTGGGAAACCATTACCAGTGAAAGCCATTACTTTTGCTGGTTCTTCAGAGAAATTTGCGGAATTAATTTGGCATTAGCACTCAAAACCGATATGGTGGTATTTGAAGGGACCATCAATCAGTCTGTCAGAATTAGGAGTCTCCATCTCCCCTGGTAACATTGAAAAACAGCTTTTGATTTCAAAGAGGTTCACTCATTATAGAACAGCTGAAAGCCTAAAAAAGCAGGACGGCAATTTAGCATTTTAGCATTTTCGTTTGAGGGAGAAAACAAATCAACTCCTTATCAGTGATGTATCTTATCCTTCCTTCCTTCAATTCAGGTGATGCAGCTGATGTGTCAGAAGTGAATTTTACTAAATGCTGCAGGTGCTCTTGAGGAAGGAAACACACCAGCTGGCCCCCGGGAGCCGACTGATTGGACGATGAGTTGGTTATCTACTTTCCTGCTGTTTGGCAATGACAAAAAGACTGTGATTGAAGGACAAGTCTGAACAATACTTGTCACTTAGTTAAAAATCTCCCTATCTCCTGACTAAGTGTTTGCTTATTTGCATCAGGATGGCTCTGTCAGTCAATTTCAGCCTAAACAGAATTGACCGCACACTAAATAGCAATAATTTAAGAAGTAAACAATTAACACAGGATAGATTAGATCTTCTGCAGTTAGTGCAGCAGAAAAAAAGACATTCTAACAGTATTTTTACCCTTTTAGGTGAGGAAATGCACCCGTACACCATCTAAACACTGACCAGAGAGACTCGTGACTAATCGCTCAGAATGAGTGTGACAACCCAGAGGAACTAAAGCGAATAGATTTATTTAAATGCACACCTGTCTCCGGAGGGCCCGACCGTGGCATATAACATGAATTAATGAGAAAATCGCTATGCTCTCCCATTAAATGCTGCTTCGGTTTGTAATAGACTGTAACAGTTTGTAAAAAAAAAAAAATCTCTTTCTGATCTTCTCGAAAAACGTCATTGTTTTATTCATTGTCATTTTTAAGGCAATCCATTACAAATTTCACACACCACGGGAATGACAACAGCAATGTTCTATGTTCGGTTCGGAAACAGCTCACCATGCATATCGACTGATATAAAGAGAGGTAAAGAAGAAGAGAAAAGGAAAAGGAATCCAGCAAGAACGAGATGCTTCATGCTCTGTATTCCGGTTTGTCACTGAACCCATCGGCCATTTTGGCACAATCATGCAAATCTCACAGAGGGAATGTTAGCACTGAACATCTTTAGTACACATTTTACAGTTTTTCATACTATTATAGCCTACCTCTTTGCAATAATTTTGAGAGCTACTTCACTATGACTTACTGGATTTATTATAGTGGGATAAAAAAAAAAATGTATTTACTAAATTTACACCATGCCATAAAATTAACCCATTAACATTCTCTGGATAGTGATATACATTTCAGGAAGCCTGTAATTTGTTTTCAGATTTACAAGCCATCTAGCAGCAATGCTTTGAATATTAAATAGGATTTAAAAAAAAAAAAGAGGTTACATTTATGCTAGTAGAAATTACTAGTTTACATCTAGAACACAGAATGAGTAGAAAGCCCCTTTGGCGGGACCAAAAAAAACAAAAAACGATAAAAATCCTTTAAAACACAAAAAAAAAAAAAAAAAAAAAAAAAAAAAAAAAAAAACATCCAGTGAATAAGTAGAAAAAAATAAATCAATATACCTTTTAACATTCAAACAAACCCTTTCACCCAATGCTCTCTGTGTCAGACTTCATCGCCATCCCCTAATTGATTGATGGATCACTTCATTCTCAGTTACTAAAGGTTTGTTAATAACTCATGGAAATAGAGAGGTGCATTTAAGCAAAAAAAAAGTGAAAAGTGTCATTCTTGTTGTAGAAGTGGGTTAAAAGGAGGATTTCTCCTTTGCGCTCACTCATAAATTTGTGGTTTCAGGACCAATGGAGACTTTTAAAAAAAATGCAGTTCAAGAACGACACAGTTCATAATCTACAGTGCATGTAAAATTTAAATATATTAACAGATGCTCGCTCTAAAGCCAAAACATTGCCACAGCTTGGGACAAACAAGAAAAAAGATTTACTCGACAAGATGAAAATGTATCAAAACTAAGAGTACGAGCAAGTATAAACAGCCCTGCTGTCCAACAAAGAAAAACAGTCGGTATTTACTGCTTCATACACATTTGTCTGATCATTTTTAGGTTTTAAAATGGACCTCTGAGAAAAGCGGCTGTATACTATGTATGTTTTTTTTTTTAGTCTTTCTAATTCTAAATGTTTCAAGTTTTTTATGGTAGTAAAATTTAAAGAAAAATCAATATGAGCTTCCTTTGTAAAAAAAAATATATATATATATATTGTTTCTAATGTATGCATGTTATCAACCATTAATGTAAACTTACTGTTTGCAATTACTATGCCAATGCTATGCATCCAAGGTTAGAACATGTAAACAATATCGCATTATGTTTGCACAGCGAGAAAAGCAACTTCAGCTGCATGAAAAGTGTTTTGTTCATCTTTTGAAAACTCCAGGGTGAATCCCAGAAACGAAAGGGCAAAGGTTTAGTGTGGCTGGATGCGGGCAGAGAAACACAGCAGATGTTGCCTCATCTCCAATCATCTTTAGCAGCGAGCGGCGAGGCATCTCATGTTTCCCCCTGATGGGCTGTGCTGCTGTACAATATCAAGACATACTGGCTCCAGAGCAATAAGGAATTGGAGTGGCAAATTAAAAAGAAAAAGTAAAACTGGCATTCTTGAGCATTACCGGGCTGAGTACATCTCTCTGATTCACATTTACAAATTTTACAGCATTAAGAAAATATTTGTGCTTTCTTTTACTCTGGATTTTTCCTAACTGACTTGAAAGTATGTAAATGCATACAGTGTCTTAATGCAATATACAATTGTTTTTACCTGGATTTCATGCTTTAGAATAGCATCATATAGCTCCAAAAAGCTTTAAATGCGAAACTGTAATGGGAAATATTACTTTGTACTAAAAAGACTTTGCCTGTGGAAAAATAAAACCACAATTACATAAACTATCTACATATTCTACAAACAAATCAATCAATTCCACTAGATAGATTACCCATAAAGGGTATAATATTTCAAACAATCACTTATAATTTCACTATTTTTCTTGCTTACCTCTGGTGGATATAAATTAAATAGGAAGATTTTCCTAATACAGTCCTTGCATGCTGACGCACACATGTTTTTGTAGATTTTCAGATGTTAAATAAATAGAAAATTGTATTGCTTGTGCAGATCTTCTCCATATATCCAGCACAGTCAGATCCAAACTATGAATCGGTTCATAGCATTGACTAATTTGTGAATAAATTATGGGGGAAACAAACTCACAGCCACAAACCAGTCAGAACCGTCCCTTTCTGTTCAAAGGCCAGAACACAGAATTAGTTTTCAATTTCTCCAAAATGGAGAATTGAAGCCATCCGCTCTTCTAGACGCCTAATACGGATTCAGTCGTATTGGCTTTGAATGAGATCCAAATTGGAGGTGGCATAACAAGCGTGGCTGTTTTCCTTCAGCATGCTCGGTAAACTCATATGGTGGGGGTTGGGCTGAGTCCAGGTGGGCTGTAGTCTGGTGGCGGCTGGTTGGGCTTGATGCCCCTTGACTTCATATATAAGATTAACTGCTCTGGAATCTCAGCCAGGACATCCTTGGCAAGTCGGGCCATACTCAAGACATGGTTTCCCGTCCGGTCCATATAGTCTCTGAATGGTACGAACTGCAGGCACAGACAAGGTTAAAAAGCAGTTGTTTATGTGTTTATTTATTCCCTAAAATGTCCATGTAAACCTGGCTGATTACAAAAATGATTATTGGTTGCACGCAGCTTGTTGTTTGTTATCTTGAGATATATTGGTGGTGTCGCAGTGTTAAATCTGACATGCCTGTAAATGTAGGTCACCAAAATTATTCCTTCAGAAACTTTCCTCAAATAGTTATTGGATTGTTTTGACACTAGTTAGGCAATATATACAGTCCAGTAGCATATCCATCCAGTAGTGGTTCAGTTCCTGAATTAAATAAATGACTTTAACAAATTTAATTCTATAAAATATCTCATAGACACCCACTAGTCGCCATACAATAGTATGCATTTGTGTGTAAAGAGTAAACAAACACATATACATTTAAAAACGAACATGAATTCATAAATATACAAATACACAAAGATATGTACCTGTACAATATCCCTCTCTGCCAGCTTTCCTCTGGAGGATATTCTTACATCATCGCCATCCAGCTCTACCATGGCTAAAAAGTGAGATGATCATGTTATCTGCCCTCAGGCCAGTTAAACTCAATCTTGAGCCTTTCCCCCCAGCATGACACCAACATTTACCTCTTTGCTGGAACATTATGAACGGCTAAACACAAATACAAATAGCAGATGGTGGGACGGTCTAATTATATTGAACAGCTGTGAGATCTGTGAGTTGACATCTGCTTACCAGTCCGAAACCCTAAACCTTCCAAATTAGGTGATGTTTAATCCAGAAACTCCTCTATGTGAGTGCAAACTGTGGAGTCGCATTCATGCCATCAAGTTTTAAACCTCCATGTGGGAATGCTAATGTTAGCTTTCATTTAGTGGAGTTGATAGTAATGAGCAGATGCTGAGTACAATACAAACAAGCAAGCAAAAAAAAAAAATGTTTTGCAGTACATTTTCTTTTTAGGTTTGCAGTACATACAAATAATGAAAATAAGAGTAAATAAACAGAAAAATAAAGATATAAAGATAATAAGATAAAGACTGATTCTTTACAAAAGTGCGAGATTAGATTTCTTACCATCAAACTCAGCCTGGCCGACTCCAACAATAATGATGGACATAGGTAGTTTTGCCGCCTGAGAAGAAGAACACAGAAGATATATTCTACCTGATGATACATTTTACATGCATTAATCACCTTAATCATCCCCTGTCTATATTTAAGCCCTGTGTTTCCTCAGTTTCTTTGTCCAGTATTGTTGGTATTAAAGTGAATGTTCTAATAGTATCATGTTGTTTTGGGTTTTGTTTCATGTTTATATTTTCATGTCTTTAATTTTGTCTTAAGTCATATTTTCGGTTTTTCATGAGCTTCCCTTGCTTATGTTATGTGTCATGTTCTCATTGGTTGGTCTAGTCATGTGTTTTACAGTATGTTCTCAGTGGTTCATTATTTGATTATTCACAGGCGTTCCTTGTTAGTATTTAGTTCGTAAAATTGTGTACAGTAAAATTGTGACTTCCTAGCATATAGTTTATCTCCTGAATTATCTATTGAATTTGATTTTGAATCAAAACAAAAACTCATTTCATTTGCTTTATGCAAAATACAACTTTGTTTCTGGTTTGGGGCCAAAGTTGAACTAGACGTGTTTTTTTTAGGATTCACCCTTACAGGGTCGATATCATATAACACAACGTAGCTTAACGACAATAAAGTTGTTGTTTTATATATATATATATATATATATATACACATTTAACACACAGCTTGTGATAGAGATGTTTTTTTTTCTCAGTACATGTTGAGTCAATCAGGTTTGAAAGGACATTTTGACTTTGTGATGGTTTGAAAAAAAATGTTGATAGCCATGCATTATTCAGGCCCTCCTGGATCAACATTCTCTTTCCTGTGCTAGCTAGCTTTCCCTGTTCCTGATATGATGCCTGACTGACAGGTCAAATCCCATTTATCGGAGAAGTAAAGAGTGAGTCTATATTGAGAAAACTCAGAGGCAGCTTAAGTGTGACAGCGGATAACAAGAAAACCACAGGATATTCACAGAAACAAAACTCACTTTCTCCCTAAAGCGACTTCCCAGTGGTTTGAAATGAAAAGTAGTTCCAGATAATGCATTAAACATGATCCCAGCAGAAACAGACTAAAATATAGGAAATACATACATGGGGGGAAAACATTATTTCTATTACATGTAATCTAAAGAGCTAATAATGAGATATATACCTTTAATATACAGTATCAAACATATAATATTAAAGGCTCCTGAGGGTTTGGATTTTGAAAGTACTTTCCCAGAGGGCCTGTGAAAGCCTGTTGAGAGGAATGAATAATTTGTTGAATAAAGCATGGCTGGACACACAACCTTAGTCATGCTGATAAGTTTGTGGGCTGTAATGGAGTTAAAATTGGAATTTCACTGGGGGCCACAAAACACATCACACAAGATGAAAAAGAGACACACACAGAACACAAACAACCCCCCGAACTGTGGGGCCTGGAAAGCTAATCAAACCATTGATTTGGATGATTTAGATCATTAATTACTACAATTCAGAGATCGATTTCTTCAGTAACCCTCAAGCTTTATGTGGGAAAGCAAAAGATGGACTCAGTAAATTGTGAGAATATGAACAAATACTAAAACAGAATCAGCTGATTGTATAATTCAAAATATGAAACATAAATCGCAATATAAATAAATAAAACAATTTATTTAAAAAAAATAAAGTTGTAGGTAATAATACAAAATTAAATAATTTAAATATGAAGATCTCCGATGCAAAAGCCTCTAAAAGCCACCTATGTCTTAATGAGATAATAGTACTGAGTGAATGCTCTCCGCACATAGTATATGTTAATGTAAGTGTACTTAGGTAGAAACATATAAAGGAGTCTGATAAAAATGTTAATATGAAATAAAAACGTTAGACAGACTTAGAGGCTTTTGCATCTGAAGTCTTCATACATACACACACATATAGCTTATATATATATATATATATATATATATATATAAACATGTATTTTTCACTTTATTATTTATTATATATATTATTTATATTTTTTTCAATTAGTTTATCTGTTTAACACTGACTGCCCACTATATTAGTTACAGAGCATATGTCATGGCGCTCTCGTGAACTCACGTCAAAAATATATCTTATATATATATATATGAAGATCTCCGATGCAAAAGCCTCTAAAAGCCACCTATGTCATAAATGAGATAATAGTATTGAGTGAATGCTCTCCACACATAGTATACATTACTGCACAGTGTACCCATCTTCTGATGGCTACTTCCATCAGGATAGCATGTCATGTGACAAACCTCAAATCATCTCAAACTGGTTTCTTGAACAGGAAAAAGAGTTCACTATACTCAAATAGCCTCCACAGTCACCAGATCTATGCTATTGAGCACCATTGGGATGTACTGGAATGTGCAGCAACTGCGTGATGCTATCATGTCAATATAAAACAATGTTTTCAGCACCTTGCTGAATCTATGCCACAAAGAATTAAGGCAGATCTGAGGGCAACATTAGGTCCAACTCAGCACAGCAAGGTGTACCTAATAAAGTGGGCGGTGAGTGAATATACTGTACATGCATACACACATATATATATATATATACATATATATATACAAACAACCAACAAACATAAAAAATGCAATACATCCACTTGTGATGTTGTGATGGGGATGGTATTGGTCCCAGGCTGTTTTTTGTCCACCAGTCAGTCCATCCCTGTCAGTATGCATTGTGCAGACACTGAGTGCTTGGTGCCAATGGGCAAGGATTATAAAAACATATTTATGGGGTTGGAAATAGGTCAGCATTCCCGGAAATGCTCACGGGGGACAGAGGCAGTCATGAGTTGAAAGAAACAGAGCTGGGAAGATGAGCCTAAAAAAACACATTTCACACACACACTTCATGTATTCACTGCTCTGTTTCCTGTAGGTTTTTCCTTCAAGCGCCCCTCTCACAATCTCTCTCATTCACTTGTTTACTTTCCCCCTCCTTCTTGTTTCTCCCAGTTTTGTTTACTTGTGGATTACTTTTTTTTTTTTACCAAATAATTCTCTCAGCCTTAAAATAAGTGCAGATTACTGTGAATTATGTGAGGTGACACATTTACAGCTATACCCTATAATAAACTCTGTGAATTACAGTGTTTTCTTGTCTGCTTAGCCACATCCCCTCTTGCCTGGCTTCAATGTATTTGACACGCTCACACCTGCAGGTAAAACTTCTTTGGAGTCATTTAACAGATTTGTTAAATATAAAAAAACAAAATTCTAAATGATCTAAGTAAATGATTTATTTATTTAAAGGATGTTTAGATATACAAATACTGATTATGAAAATGAGTCCAAAAAGCTTCCAGTACAAGTGAGCATATTTGTCTATTCTTGTTCAAAAATCTAAATTAGTAACAGAAAGTGACCACACAGTTTACTGAATTGCCCTACATTTCACTTCAGTTACTCTCAGAATATATAAGAGGCCAAATTGCTGTAAGTGCAGAGAATCACAGAGCGAGAGTGCATATGAAAAATACTTCAAAGTGCTCATTTTAATCTAATCATTTAAAAAAAAGAATGACATGAAAGAGCACAAAAGTGGAAATCTCACAGCAGACTTCAGTAAAAAAAATCACTTGAGGCATAGAAATGAATAACGCACATGCATTGTTCAGTCATTTGGCGTGAACCCAAATCAAACCGTGTGACTGAAGACTGAGGTCCAAAGCATCAAGGGAAGAGGGTGAAGAGACAGAGCAGCAGGCAAGATCTTAAAAGGAAGGTGTGGCTGTTCTAATAATGTGACTAAACAGTCGCAAATTCCCTTTAAATCCAGTCTGCTGGGTAACTATAGCAACGGTGACAGATGAATCCCACTAGATGTGAAGAGGACCTCCGGAAGAACCATAACACACCTTAACTATTCTTGGGCTTTTAGGGCTCTTGTGATGCAATTTTTTACCAGTGTGGTGATATAAACAGTTTTTGAAGACAGAAAGAGTGAGACTGAGGTCAAAGATGACTTACATTGACGATGGCCTCTTTAGTCTGAGCCATATCTGATATCACACCGTCTGTGATGATGAGAAGCACAAAGTACTGCGAGCCATCTTGAACCGCTGCACCATACCTGTGCACACACACACACACACACAGTCACCTTTTCATATTAACAAACTTATTAGCAAAAATCCAAATCCAAATGATCCATAAGCCAAACATGAAAATTTCTTCATGGTGATTCAGCTGATTGACTGTGTTTTTAAATCCCAGATGAATAATGAAAGAATGAGCATCCTCATTAAACACTTAGTATTCAGTGCTGCATCTCATGCATATATATATATTTGCTCAGGGATGTCCCTGTGCTTTTGACATAGCACTTCCTGCCTTCATCAAAATCCCATAATGCTTATTGTGATGCAAAACACTTTACAGAAGCTATGACAGAAGAGACCTGGCCTCTCGGAGATCCGCACTCAGTCACAGCAACGAGAAACCAACATTTGGGGGGGGTTGTTAAAATCATCTAAGCATGTTGAATTAGACCGACGGAATGTTTCCTACTTAGGGCACGAGGGTTACATCCGTAACCGAGACTTTTCTCTTAATTTCAACATTATATCTCAAAACTGCGATTATATATCTCTCTGTTGTGACTTTCTCAACGTTGCAACGATATCTCACAACTTCTTTCTAACTTAATATCACACAATTATGACAATTTCTTACAGTTCTCATTTTAATCTTTATCTCACAATTGATATGACTTTTTACACAGAGGTGAAAACTAGCTTTAATACAGCAGCACCTGGGTCAGCCTCACTGTAAAAAAATATTTTCAAAATTTGTTATCGCAACATATTTTCTTTTGTCAAATCAACTTAAATAATTTATTTAGTTCAGATAACTTATTATTTTGAGTTTCTGATGATTAAATCAATCTCCATTGTATTAACTCACTTTTTCTAGTTTAATCAACTTAAAAAATGAAGTAACCTGGTTGCCTTAATTTTAAGTTAAACCAACAATATTTTTTTGTTGTTCTGATATAAATGTCATAATTTCTGCCTGTGAGTTTTGATTTGTGTGAAGCAAGGGGTCCTAGAACATCAGCTGAAGACTCGTTTTTCCAAAACTTTGAAGTCTGTCATTAAAATAAAGTACAATAAATTGCAATTAATACAATCATTTTCTATTCATTTGAATCCAGGAATCTGTTTCACTGCACTTTCTTTATATTGGTCTACACAGGTTGAGTTTTCGACAGTTCCAGCACGCTCCTTTGAGCGTTGTTGCATTTTTCTCACCTTGCTACGTGGTTGATAATAGGAGCAAAATTGGTGGGGCCGTAAAGCTGGACAGTCTTCAGACTCTGGTGGTAAGCCTCCAGGATGCCCTCCATCCCGTTACAGTATGGGTTATCTACATTACCATTCTACAAAAAGAACATCAGAGATCAATCAACAACTTCTCCTCTAGTCTCAAGGTCAAATCATCAGATTAGATTTATCATAACGCTTACATTTCTTAAGATATCTGCAGTTATTCATTTGACTGAGAAACTTTACAATATGCTTATTAGGGCGCCTAGACACTTTAATTTGCATTGCATCAGTGAATTCAACTGTGAATCCATTGAAACCGCAAGGGTTTGCAAATGTGTAATTCAACCAAAAACTGGTTCTTTTACTTCTTTCTCCTTGCAACCCATCTAACACATTCATATTCTTCAAATGCACCATCAAAACTTTCTCTAGTGTATCACCCTTAGGGATCTCAGTATCTGCTCAGTATTTTATGATTCATTAGATAATTATTCATGCTCTAATGAAGGTGATATTCAAAGAATAAGGGAGTGAAGCAGCAAAAATGAACAGTCATGATCCCATGTTCCAGTACAAGCCAAGAGAGAGGAGGGAGGGGGTAGAGAAAGAGTGAGCAAAAACTAATTAGGAGACTCCAAATGCTTGACGACTTGATGGTTTGGCACACACAAATCATGAATACTCATGCAGGTAACGTTAATGAGCAGGAGTGTCAGGAGAGCCTTATTTACACATTACACATAGATGAAACCAAGCATTACTAATTACAATGTCATCAGCCTATGCAAACAACTAAATAAATACATTGAAACAACCATACACAACCTCACACATAAAATTTCACTGACAGGATAAAGCAACATTATTCCGAGTGTCTAAAAAAAAAACCATGTATTTAGGACTCAAGCAGAAATTACTCTGGATATGTGCCAGATAGCTGTGAAATCCACATAATCTATCATATCTAGGAACAGGTACCAGGGGAAATTCATGGGAAACCCGGCCATCAGGAGGAAGTTTGGCTCCAAAGCCCAATGCAGGAAACATCTTATCGCTGTCATAGTCTTGAATGATCTCGCCCACGGCCTTCAACGCCATGGCGTACGCGTTCATCTGATAGGGGTTCATGTAGTGCAGGGAGGTTGACTGTGAAGGGTTCCCTAGAGTTTAAAGAGAGATGGGTCATGAATTAAGGCCAACTTTGATTCAGAAATGTTAACCAACTGCATGGAAAACAAACTCAAAACAGGAAACAATGATCACGGAAAAAATTACCATTGGAGGCAGTGAAATCAATGGCCACTGTGAAATGGATCTGAGTGCTAGAATGAGAGAAAGAGAGACGGAAAGAATATCAAATGAAAGCATTTCAATTGACATTACAGATGTGAGAACCTGAACCTGAAGCTCAACAAAGGTGATGGATCCTGATTCACACCATAACATTTCCTGCTTCAAAACACTCCCAATGTTTCCACTCCTGCTGTTCGATGGGTTTGTGCAATTACCATCTCCAGCCCTGCATTGTGCCGTCTCTCACCTGACAGGCAGACAGCCAACCTCCCGCTCACCAGCCAGACATTCCTCACAATCAACTCTGCCTGAAGGGCAGACCCAACATCTGTGTAATCCCACTTCTTGTTCCATTTTTTTTTTTTTTTAATTAGAGAAACAGTGAAACTGGTCTCAGAACAGCAGTCAGGCTGACATGCTTTCCACATACAAAACTGCCAAAAATCATGGATTCTTTCACCACTATTGAAATCTGTATTGTCCTCTAGCCAGTCTCTCTGCATGACAAGCAACTGTAATCCAGGATTAAGCTGGAGTTCCCACTGATTTCAACACGGAAACACAAAGCTTGCCGACTAACTGCTGTTCTGAGATCAGTTGTTGCTCTATTTAAGAAAATTGGGTGAGAATTTGAACTGAAGTATATATTTATTTTAATTTGTAGTATTTAATTTTTCAGTTTCAGAGTTTTAGTGTATTCCAGGCTCAAGTCCAATTTTGTTTGGATATTGTAGTGCTGTTACAACATAAAAATACTAGGGCTGTCAAACGATTAATCACGATTAATCGCATCCAAAAGAAAAGTTTGTGTTTAATAATATATGTGGGTGCACTGTGTATAATTATTTTGTTTATATATAAATACACACACATGCATGTATATTTAAGAAAAAAAAGTATATATAAAATATTTATATTTATATATAATATAAATTATATATAAATCTATATACTTGAAAATATTCCTTAAATTTATACAAGCATGTGTGTGTATTTATAGATATAAAATAATTATACACAGTGCACCCACAAATATTATGTAAACACAAACTTTTATTTTGGATGTGATTAATCGTGATTAATCGTTTGACAGCCCTAAAAATACCTTAAGTTTTACCTCAGTTTTCCACTATCATAAATCACACAAACAAAATGGCATGCATAACATACATGCATACATTTTGCCTTCACAAAGCATTATTCTTTGTAAAGCTTCTTTAGTACAATATATATTATAACAATAATATAGTGAGAAAGTGCTAGGCCTATAAAAAGAAAAAAAAAGGACAAATCTAATACAGAACAAATTCTAATACTGGTATTTCATATTTAGTTTTGCATTAGATCATTTAATTCCCAACAAACTACCAGAGAGCACTGAGCCCACAGAAAACAAATGGCAAATCTGGCAAACACCTGCACAACGGAAACGATTATACGATAGCAAGCGACTTTTTCTGCTGCTGATGGGAGTACAACACTTGCACAGATAACCTCTGAAGCACCGGAAAATATTATTATGACATCTAATATCTGAATCTCAAAGGCATTCCTCTTTCAGCATGAACTCTGCATTTGTCTGCTGTGCAAATGAGAAATGAGCTCTAGACGCAAATGTTGGAAAACATGGAGTGTGAGGTCAGTGAGTGAATATTTATGAAACATTTCCAAACATACAAAGAAATCATCCTCTGATGCAAGCGGGGGATATTTTAGATGAAGGCCCTGATCAGCAGGTGACAACTACAGCTGTCATTCATATGCAATCCCTGTGGCAAGATGTTTTCTTAAGAGTGATGATGGGTCACCAGAGCACAATTATGTATTTTCAACGCATTCTCATCCTTTAACGTCATATAGAACGCTATATGACAAAACGGCGCTATACTACGCACATGGCACCCGTTATCGTTAATATAACACGTGCTGTGAGGGCTAAGTTTAGGTGTGGGGTAGGGTGTGCGTGTCATATTCACGCTAAAGGATTTATAACGTCTTGGGTTCGCGTGTTATATTAACGATAAAGGGTGCCATGTGCGTAGTATAGCGCCGTTTTTGCATATAGCGTTCTATATGACGTTAAAGGATGAGAACGGGCTGGTATTTTAAACATTCACTGTACATCCACAAACATGACCACATATGTTAATGAGTGATTCTGGCCAAATCTCATTCATAGTCAACACAAGGGTATTGTGTTAATGCAAAGACCTTGGGTAAGCAACCCCCAAAAAAACTGCTTCCTTTTTATCAGCCCTTGCTTTTTTTCATTATTTAACTCAGCACAATATAAACAGGAAGGCAGGGGGAGCAGCACAATGGTGATTAACAAGCTCTGTGTATGCTCCTTTATCTTCATTTCTTTTTTTCTGTCCATCTCAAGTTTTTTTGTGATTATCACTGATGTCTCCAGGCACAAAGTCTGGGCTGGTGCATTAATCTGCATTATACTGGAAGCTCCTGTGCTGGAGACAAGAGAACTCGGAGAGCTTTTGAACCAGAGCTTTCATATGAAGAACATTTATCTTAATGGTGGAATTCTGAATGTCATCTATAGGAGTGAAAAAAACAGCTGGAAAAGAATGATATAGAATGATGGGATTGTGCCTGTCACATTAGCAAGTGCAGACAGATATATGTACAAACACACACATACAAATACAAGATATATAAACATATGGAACATAACTTGATCCAAAAACACACAACTCTGCAATGCGGCAGTTTAGAAATTCCTAGCTGCATGGTTAAGTTACGGATATCGTCTGGTGTCTTTGAGGCTATATTCCCCTCATGAGTTCTTTAATGATATTTAACACAATCTCTGGACACGGATGAATTGAAATCTAATGAGTTCAAGAGACCTCTAAACACATATCAGCAATAAAAAGCACTTCTCTCAGATTCACTAAACAAAATAAGAAATAAAAGTATCATATTTTTATGAAAAGGTACTTGCTAAGCATATTTCTTTCTACAGTATTTGCCATTAGAAAAGAATCACAAATAAAAACTTTAATCTTTTTTGTTGTTGTTTCAGACAGCAATGAAACTAAATAGAGAGCAAATGGAGACTTCAGATTCTCAGGTTTTCCTCCATTCATGAATATGGTATATTTTTAATAATTATATTATGTTTACATAGTCACTTTGATAACTTTTGATAACTTTGATAACACAGTAAAAAGAGTGCATATGCACAGTGTCTGTATGGTGTAGCAATTTAAGTTAAAATTAATTTTGGTTTCATATTTTTGTTACAATTTTATGATTATTATTATTATATATTTTAATTTAATATTTTAATTAATAAAGAAAATATTGAAAATGGTATACGTCATAAAGGGCATGAATTGAATACAATACTGTATGTCAGGAGATATGGAGTGGGTGGGAGACGATTTTTGACCACTTCATAAGTTTGTTTGTTTCGTGTAATTTGTGCCTTAATTTCAAACGATGTTTTGTAAACCAATTATCTAGATTTAAATATGAAGAAAACAAACAAAGCTTGGTGGAATGTAGTGCGTATCAAAACACAAGCCCGCTACCATGCTTCTGCGGTCTTGAGAAAAGGCCCAAACAGTATTGTTTTCGCTTATGAATTGCGTTGTAATCCATCCATAAATTTATTTTTTCAGTGGCCTACAAAAAAGTGGTGGGGACATATTAAAACATATGGAAAATTTGGTTTATTTACATGATTTTAGCATGTTAAAAAAAAATCACAGTCTAATGGAATCAATTTTGAGATTACATAACTTTTACATATTTATGTCTGTAGATTTCAATTACAAAATATCTTTAATTGTTTTCAAATTCAAGTTTTTTCTCCTGCATTGAGCCAGAAATCTCCACTTCAGTTCAGTAGCACTTGTATGCCAAACTGTCCAGTTTTATATATATATTCTGAAGGTTTTACAGAAGGACTTCATATACCTGATGATATAACATTTTAATCCTAAAAACGGCGAAAATGTTTAGGGTTTTTTTCAAAGTATGGTGACATCTTTTAGTTGAAAGTTAACCTATTCACCTGTCTTGGCTTTATATAAATGAAAATAATTAGTCTAGAAAAAAAGATATTCCTTTTCAAAAACATGATTAAACATTTAATAAGTTCCTTGGAAAGGGCTTTGAATTTTGCATTAACTCTAAGGGCTACCTTTCTGACCTGCACTCAATTAACACCTCACTCAAGACATGATTCTTTCACTCAATCAAGTAAAAAGTGTCCATCGCACTCTCTGAAGCAGGATATGTTGAAGCAGCCAGAAGGGTAATATATATAGTCCAGAGGAAAGTGAATGAAACATGTACTGTAGCAATGGGAAATCCATACAAAGGTCTGCTTTCAGCGTCAAAATTAAAGGTCAGAGTCTAATGGAGAAAAATAACAAAGGTGAAAACCTGACAGAAAGCAGTTTGAGTGTGGATAGAGTGATCTGACTCGGTGTGAACTGAATACGGCACACAGGATGATGTCAGAGCGATATGGATTACTCTAGTGTGAAAGGTCAGCCATGTCTTTTGGATAGCCATAGGTAACAGTTCAGACACTTTTCTGACCTATCACTTATTTTTTTGGCTTTTGCCATTTTTATTTTTGACCTTAGTGACAAAGAAAAATAAATTATATCCCTAAACTTTATATCCCATTAAAATATCTAAACATGCAGCTCTGGTTACCACCCGTATTCAAATTAATTAAGTACTAATTTCTTTTAACCTCACTTTATTCAATCCATCACCATGCCATACAGACAGGATACATCGAAAACCAACCAGATGGAAGTGTCTTAATAAGCAGGATATTATTATTTAAACCTTAGACTCGGACATGCCCTGATGCCTTTCTACTTCCAGATACTGCCTGTCAATGCCGCTTTTTCCAGTTTAGAACAAAGCCTTTGAGTCAGGGATAACAGACAAAGAGGGGCAAGCAGGTCATACATCCTAATGCCAGATATATCAATGGATCAGACCACAATATAAGGTCAGCGGTCCTGAGATGTTTCCCCCAAAACTGGCATCCGAGCAGAAGGCCAGCCTTTCATCAGAGCAAACTGAAAAGGACTTGGCAACCCCTGAATACTGATTACAGTAACTTCAACAATAGCCGTGTTTGTTGTTCTAGTTTAGTATTTAAGGGGTTATTCGGGGCTTGTTTACAGGAACTCTTCCCCAAAGATGTTTGATGAGCTGTTTGACGCCATTACAATGATAAAAATGATATGGCTTCAGCAAGACTTTGACCTTTACAGCCGCTGATAGTGTTTACAAAAATTACATGTTGTGACACTGAGATTTCAGAAGCATTTTAGAACAAGCTAAATACAGTACATTAGCTTACATGAGGGTGAATGTGTGTATTTTCGCCCATACCCTGCTTTGATGTAGTCCAGGAACGTGTGTTCGGCCTCCACCGAGAATGAAAGCATTGTCACCTGGGTAATTGAGCAACAAAAAACAGATGGTTTACAACAGCACAAACCACATCTGCAATGAAACAATCCATCAAGGCATTATGCAAAGACTCTCTTCTCTCAGCTGTCAATGCCACACAGTCTTTTTCATTAGACAACCAGGATCTTTCCATGTTGGGAGGAAGACAGGTGATGGACTATTCATTTGAGTTTTGATTAAAATCTCAAAGCCAATTCATGGCAGTCACTGCGGAGAGTCTTTGTGGATCATCAATCACTGTTATCCACCCAGACCTCCGATATTACTTCCTCACTGCTCTCCTTATCAAAGTATGAAACAGAAAGCACTATCCAGTCAAGAGACTTGGATCTCAGACTGTCAAGTAGTTTATCTGAATAATAACCAGACATACTGAGTCCTCATGGAACACAGCTGGACACATATATTTAGTGCTGTAAGAATGCAGTGAATTCAATAAAACAAATTAAAGTTTAAAGGTGCTGTATGTAATTTTTTTTTTTTTTTACAAAGCATAAATATATCATAGATATTTAGGAAACATGCTAAGTTCATATACTCATTTCACTGATAAACAATGCTATTGCCAGTTATTCTACTTTGAATTGTGCAAACCGTGTCGGAATGTCTGTTTTTGTTTTGGTCTGTGCGATGCCGCATGCTGCCAGTTTAACAAATATAGTATTTCCACACCCCCGGTTGCCAGTTGGCGGAAAACAGCATATTGCATTTTCCAGACCTAAAAGAGCCTCAGCATTCAGCGGGAGCATATAATTAAAATAAGGATAAATCAACTCAACAACTTAGAGTGTGTTACATTGGCTTTCATTCTCCTGTTGCATGTCTTTAATCTGACAACCTGCTTGGGAGGGGGCGGGGTAAATAACTTTCTCTAATATTTTGAATTTGGACTGAAGTACTCCAAGTGGACTGCTTGGATATCACACCACGTCTCCTTCCATTAATAATAATAATGTCTAGTGTGGTGGCTTTGATAGGCTATAAACCTAACAACGTCCGTTGCCATGATTTTTGGAATGACTTACAGCGAGAGGGAAAAAAAGACGTTTTAGTCGCATAAAATCGGTTAATGGAAACACCGTCATTTCGCAAATTAGTTTAGAAAAAAAAAATCACAAAAGTTTTGTGCAAATCTGTATTGGAAACGTGCCTAATATTACATATTGCACTTTTCAGATGACAAAAATGACTAAAACTAAAATTGAAATGATTCAATTAAATAAATTAAAGCTAAATGGAAATTTAGCTAAAAGCACAGTTTTCATTTTAATTTTAATTTAGTGGATTAATGTTCATGTCTTTCTTTCTTCAGTGGAAAAGAAATTAAGTTTTTTGAGGAAAACATTTCAGGATTTTTTCCCCACACAATGGACTTGGATCCCAGCTGAGGAATAGGCTCTTATCTAGCGAAATGATTTCTAAAAAAAAAAAACATTTCTATACTTTTAACCACAATTGTTCGTCTTGTACTGGTCTGCGATGCGCCAGGGATTACGTCATCATGTTGGATAAAATCATCATATAAATAAATACTAAAATCAGTGTTTCCATTCATTAACTAGACTAGCTGTTGTGAGAACTTCTCACTGTAACATTTTAAAAGGTCTTTAACATTTTGTTTTCCTCCAAAATAAAAGCATACATGAAACGTAAAATGAAATAACATATTTATGAAATATTTATATTTATTTATTTTACAGTGCATTTGTTTCACAATTTATGGCTATTGCTGTCCCAGGAATAATAATAATAATATGTTAATAATATGTTTTCCACTGTTTTCCAGTTTGCACACTGATCGTGGGTTGGACCTTTTAATTTTGAACTCTCAAAGTTGAACCGATGAATTTAACGTACACAATTTTCTTCCAGTGGAGCATGTCTCTGGACTATCCTAGAGGGGCCGAGGTTCAACCCCCACAGTCTAACTAAATCCTGTAGAAAAATACTAAAATAGCCCTGTTGCTAAAGACAGAAAAGCTTTTTTTTTCAGAGAACATATCTTGAATTGAGTTTTGTTCTTATTTTCCATTTGCAAAAATTTTTTTTTCTTATTTTATATTTACATTTATTCATTTTAGCTGACGCTTTTATCTAAAAGCGACTTACAATTACTCTATATGTCAGAGGTCGCACGCCTCTAGAGCAACTAGCGGTTAAGTGTCTTGCTCAGGGACACATTGGTGTCTCACAGTGGATTCGAACCTGGGTCTTTCACACCAAAGGCATGTGTCTTATGATCCATTGCGCCATAACCACACCATTTTAAGTATAAACCTCACTAAAACATTGTGATATGAAATATAACCTTAATTCAAGATATATTGAAAACAAATCGTGTTATCTTATTATGTCGAACCTGTTAAAACAGTTGTAGCCTACTAAAACACAAGATTAAAAAATATATATTTTGTGCAGGATATTGAGAGAGCAAATTCACTACTCACTGTGCCAGAGTTGATGTATCTTCTCTTTTTGAGTTTCTTTTTAGAATTCACCACCTGAAATATAAAATTTAGAGATGACACAACACTTACAGGAAGATTGAGTGGGTGTGCAGAGACAGAGAATGAAAAAATAAATGTGATTCTTGTCCAAAAAGAAGAGATTTTTTAAAAGAAATGCAACTGGATTATTTCTAGCCTGCCAGTCATTTTTTTTTTTTGTCCCACATACTTTAAAAGACACAACTGTTCAAAATGTTTAGATGCTTTGAAATCCAGCTCAGGTCAGTTACATACGCAACCTTGGCTGACAGTTTGGAAACCAGGACACAGATGATGTGATTTGTATGTATTGGGGTTTAGCTGAACCGAAGTGTTGTTTGTCCAACTCAATCCCCTGGACGCCCCAAATCCTTTCAGCACACCGCTGAGACTGTCACACTCCTGTAGAACATCTTACCACCCCTCACCCCACCACTGGGCTAATGCTAGGGTGAATACATACATACTGTACACCAAGCAGCAACATTCTAATGTGAAAAATGAAGCCAAGCCGGGAGTGCGAAAAACTGCAATACATCGAAAATCCACTGTCGCAAGTCCCAAAAGGGAGCAAATATCCATAGACCCAAGGTTAAAATGTCCGTTTTCACAGCATAAATTCATTTCTTTACAGGTTGGTTCCATGGACTTTTAATGTATTTTTCAATAAGTTCCGAGTGCCTGACAACTGAGAGGGGGGTGAATTTTTTTAGATCGTATTTAGATGTATGACAAATATGTATGACAAATAAGGGCGTGGTTAACTTTGATTGACAGCTAATATTGAGCTGCGCTGTGTGGAATTCTTGAAATTTGACGTCTCGGCCAAGATCTGACACAACACATCATCCCACCTCTGTATCCTTTCTGAACATTTGTATTGAAATATCATACATGAAATGGGTTGCTCTGCTATAAACTGCACTAACCGACATGTTAGGAATAGGAGTAATTGTGTTTAATTTGTTGTTTAATGAGATCTAATATGTGGTTGTTGGTGAGAATTTTCACATGCACTCTCATGGTCCAGCAGAAGGTTCTGGGTTTTAATCTGCACTCGTATAGTTTTTTGTTTTATTTCTCTCTCGTTAAAACCGATTATGTTTATCAGTGGTTGTATATCAAGCAGGGACACGTTTGTGTGCATTTTACTTTGTGATTTCACCGGAACGAATCTCCGCAACGGATTAAAGCTTTTAAGAGTTCAAAATTGGTGGGGAGCGGGGACAATATCGACCCTGGCAAAAAGTGCTGGGGACATGTCCCACCCGCAAATTACGCCTATGCCTAGGGTAATAACCAGTTATAACTGACGTTTGGAACACTGTAAATGCATCTGCCAAATAAATAAATCTAACATAAGAATAGACCGATATGTCCCATATTGGAGTGTTCTTCAGAAGCAAATTTGCAGTGAATGTAGTAACCATAGACTGTAAAAAGTAGCCTAGTCTGCCAGTCGATCTTGTAATGTTACAGACAACTGAGGCTGCTTGGCTGAAGAGGCGCGTCCTCCGGCCGACTCAGTCTCACACAAAGCCCGCCATTTTACCCATATATGGATTGCCAGAAGGTGGGCGGGGTTAGGACTTCCCAAGATATTCAAAATATGGCGCCGCCCATACCCCTAATGAATGGCCTCAAAACTGTTATTTAGAAAGTCTATGGGTGACGTCACAGATGCTTTGTCCATTTTTTTTTACAGTCTATGACATACACACACTTTTATACACACCCAACACCCTCCTCCTTTCTCATACACAGAAAAAATTGAGTTCTAAGATTCAAGATCACAAAGTATATGTGCATTTTTAGCTCAATTTATGTTGGTGCAGGTTGTCTGTGTCCACAGTGTTATAAGTCTACCTTAAATCAAACTTTGCAAATTCACTTATGATATTAGTCTAATATTAAATTATTTCTATAATAATGATAATAATCATAATAAAATGTCAATGAATACTCTAAATATCAAGGGAATGGTCCAACCAAGCGAAGTCTCCCCTATTTTTTTCAACAAGATAAGCTCCCATTCACACATTTTTATTTCTTTTTTTTCCATCATCACCTCATGAATCTAGAATAACCTCTTTTATATGAACACAATGGTTCCTCAGTGGATTAATGGATCAGTATCTGATTCACCAAACTCACCTCAAACACGTTGAACTGACTCTGACCGCGAGAGAGCTCTCTGTAGCTGGTGGTGAACTCCCCGATAAAATCATGACTGAAGCACAAGGAACAACAAAGAGACTCTTACTGTCTGTGATAATGAAAATAGATGGATTTGAACTTATTTACGAGAGAGTGGTCAGTATTTGTTAGTGCCAGGCATTTTAGAGCGTGGGTTACATGAATACTGCAGGAAGCTAGGAGGACATTTTTCCACTATGTTTTCAAGAAAAGAAAATCATAATTTAAAAAATATGATGCATCAGTGATGTGTCAATGTGTGGGGATTACCAAATGCACATATTAGATCATGAGATTATATTACGTAAATGTGTAATGTAAACAAACAAATGTGTATTTTTTTTCTACCTGCCATCTCTGTCCCAGTCGTACACCTCCACTTTAATTGACCTGAAAGATTTAAAACAGAGCATTTAGAAACATGGTGTGGTGATATGTCAGAAACTGAAAAGAGAGCAGCAGCTGAATTGATGGATGCTTTCTGATTATAAATGGGCTTGAAGAACCTGTCTCACTGTCTTTTCATCTCAATGCTAAAACCAACCAATTACAGGCTATTATCCAGACAGTGCACTCGGAATTAAATAGCGGTTGGCGGGGAACGAACTCCCGGGTTGTGACACAGAGTAGCCCTGGAGCGTTACTTCACCTGACAGGACACAGGCGAGTTTCATTTAAACATTAATTACATCTGAAGTTTTGAATAATAAGAACCTCATTCTGTTCAAAGCAAGTTAACACGATCAATTACAGAGAGGCAGCAGAGATTTGTAGCCTCGTTAATAAAAACGGCTTTCAATGGTAATAGCTCTAAAAGGCATTTGGCACCGAAACATGTCACAAAACACAGAAATGTGCTTGTATTTACTGTTGCGATGAAATGAGCTAAAATGGACAACAGTCATTCTTTCCCTGTTTAATAACCAGCTTAATGTATGTTGTGTTATCTTCTTGAATAGACAGTTCAACCAAAAATGACTCTCATCCTCATGTCGTTCCAAAACCTGTATTTTTTTCTCTGCTTGAACACAAAAAATAATATTCTGAATAGCTGAATACAATGTCTTTACAATGACAGTCAATGGCATCCAAAACAACTCATTGTATGCACCACAAAACACTGACTTATTTTTTCACATGATTATGCTACAGGTGGATTTGTACTTGGTAAATCAGGAAATTTCCATTTGCAAAAGTAGTAATGAAATCTCAGTGGCACAAATGCACACATCTGAGTTAGGATGAGAGATTGGACCTAAACTCAGAGCACTGAGCTTCTATTGAGTATTTCCATGGGGTACATTGAGAAACTCTCCATCTGTTGGTAAAGCAGATTGGTACAGCTCTGGAGTTAGAGAACAGATGTAGGCGATTCATCAAGAGATCATATGTCTATCAGTTCTCAGATTCCCTGAAGACAGACAACCAGTAGATTCACAGACCTTCAACTAAACAGCAATAGGTCTGGTTCAAATTGCAACTTGTTCTATATAAGGGTCTGATTGACATGTAAAGTGACCAACCACAGTTTATTTTGTTTTCATGCCTAATCTGAAATATAATATAATTATCTTTCCCTACTCCAGTCTTTTATTGTGGTATAATATATATAATTACTGTGTACAGTACCGCTTTTTTCTTTTAAAAGAAAATGAATCCATATTAATAACTTATTAAGCAAGAACGCATTAATTGCATGCATTAGATGGCAGTAAAGTCTTTTACATTATTAAAAAAATATATATTTTAAATAAATGCTGTTCTTTTTAACTTTATGGTAATAAAAGAAATCGTGGAGGAAAAAATGTATTACAGTTTCCACAAAACAAAAAAAATTATGCAGCACGATTGTTTTCAAAACTGATAATATTAAGAAATGGTTCTTGAGCACCAGATCATAATGAGTATTGTAATATCATGTGACACTGAAGACTGGAGTAATGATGCTGAAAATTCAGCTTTGCCATAACAGGAATGAATTACTTTAGTTATTTTAAATTGTAATAATATTTCACAGTTATAGTAAATTAAACTGCTGAACTTTTTAAAAGTAGACTACAGGGTTTTTTTTATATTAATTTATTTTTTAAATATTCATTTAAATATAGCAAGTATTTCTTCTTAATTCAAACCAGACAAAAAAAAAAAAGAAAAATATTGGAAAATGTATAGCCTAGACTAATTTGAATTTCTGCACACATTTATCCACTAAAACAAACATAACTATTTTATAGGACTTTCTACTGAAAAACAACTTCCACAACCCTCTATCAATCTCCCCGAGTGTCGGAAACATCCGGAACCCCTTAGGTAATTTCCTCTGTAAAGTCTGAGACGTATCCCTCAGGAGCTTGTGTGATTGACAGGGTTAAGTGCTGTTCCTGTCTCTCGCCGAGATCAGAGACAGATGCAGATCAGTCATGACACTATGGGCAAATTATGGCTTCCCCTCATGTCAATCAAACCAAATTTTCTCTCCTTTGTTTAAGACCCCTGAAGGAGACCCTGCCCTCTTTTCTAACCTGATTTAATACAAGCATTTGTTTCAAAGAAAAAAATAAGCTATACTTCCAGAAGATGCGCACTGATGGTCAGCAAAACAGATAATGCTTTATGTTCTTAAAATAACTTGAGCTTTTGGTTCATATTAGCAAAACCTGAGCTGATCATCAGTACAACAGCACTCGGTTGCAATAAAATAAATCAAATAAAGTCATAATAGCATACTTTCTGCCACATTACTGCTTAAAAGTCATTATTATTTGCTATTGGAAACAATATATAGGATCTGCATATAGCATCTAAAACTTATTCTGGACCTTTTTCTGTTGAAAAAAAATATACCAACTACAATATACTCCTCTCAGCTGGCACCCTTACAGCAGGTAATAATTAGCACAGCACCACAACAGCTGGAGTTTCCCTTTCATTTTTTATTTCTCTTGTTTGCTCTGTCTCTCTCTCTCTCACACACAAACCACACGGGATCAGAGGCCAGGTGGGAACTTGGTGGCAGGTGGTTCTGTTCCCCATGTTCTGATTGGCTATGACAGCTCTCAGACGACACACAGCTGCCAATGCGACTACAATCCTCCCCCTTGCCATGAAAATGAACACACAGGTATAGCCTAAGAAAGGGGTAGGCAAGGTTGGTCCAGGAATGCCGCTGTCCTCCAGAGGTTAACTCAAACCCTGATAAAAAAAAACTCACCTGTCTGTAGCATTAGTAATCCTGAAGACATTGATAGGCTTGTTCAGGTGGGTTTGATTAGAGGAGCTAAACTCTGCAGACAGCAGCACTCCAGTACCGATGTTGCCCGTCCCTGGCCTACGAAATATCACTGCACACAACAAACTGTTTGACAAACTAGAAAGCATAGGCCTATGTAGACCAACTAAGAAACGGTGTAGTGCAGACACACACACAAATATATACACAGAAAGTAGAAAGCAAAAATAATGTGTCCTTGTAGAGCATAAATCACAACAGTGCAGCACCGTGAACAGGACTGTCTGTGATCAAATACTGCTGATGCAACGAGTACCAGCAGTCAGGTCTCAATGTGCGACTGAATCAAAGAACACAAGGACACGATCCCTCTCGACACGTGCATACACAGGGTCTTATTCAGTAACAACAGCATTATCACTATTCTAAAATAAGTCTAAGTAACACACACAGAGTAATTAGCATAATTCACACCCAAACATCTCTAAATATGGCTATTCCACATACTAAACACCTTTACATAGTGCTAGACGGCAAGTGATCGACTGCATATCAGAATGAACAATAAAACAGTTTTGTTACTCTGAAAAAAGACAGCATAGTTATATAGTTTCTTTTTTATAGTTATATTAAAGTGTTATATTAATTAAATAATAGTAATTATATCATATAACATTTATATTTAATTAAAATATTTAAAGAAAATATATATTATAAGCAATAATAGTAACAATATAATATATCAAATTAAGTATACAAAGTATATTTAGAAATGCAATTATATTATAAGTAAAATTAGTAAAAACATATATATTATATCATATTATATTATATTATTTTGTTACTATTATTACTTATAATATAATTTATTTTGTTATATTTTAATTAAATAAATAAAATCACAAAATGTAATGTAATTAACATATTATTACATATTATTATAGTAATTAATAATATGATATAATATAATATAATATATACGTTTCTGTGAATTGTTTATGTCTTTATCCTAAAAAAAAAAAATATCCTTATCCTTATAAATATCCTTATAAATAATATTTTATCCTTAAAAAAAATGTATTGAAGCTTTTGCACACTGGTTTTACGTGCATGCACAGTTAATACATGAGACCAGTTAACACTGGTGACAGGCGTAAAGCATCAGTGCATATTGATTTGCATGTCTGTTTGTGTATGTGTGAGTGCACCTGTCATAATCTCCATTGCAAAGCGCTCTGACAGGGATGGTGAACGGCTGCCAGACAGGGTTCAGTGTACTCTTTACCACTTCAGTTTTATGGCAAATAGTGAACCTAGGCAACAAAACACGAGATGTGAAATTCAAACAAAGCAGTACACATTGTATGATTGCATTTTATTATACACACTGCATGTAGAATTTTTAGGCATGTTGATTTTCTGATCATTTTTTGTTTTTCAAGCACATTTTACCAATTCCAAGATATGCAGAGATGGGCATTTAATAATTTTTGACTTTTCAAATGTTCCCCTTGGGCTCTGTCCATCATGCCCTCCTAATCATCCCCATCCTGATTGGCTTCATCACTGTCTCCTCTGCACCAGTAAGCTGGTGTGTGGTGGGCATTTTGACGCAATATGCTGTCACATCATCCAGGAGGATGCTGCACATTGGTGGTGGTTGAGGAGCCCACTTCCATGTAAAGCACTTTGAATACCCAGAAAAAGCGCTATATAAATGTAACAAATTATTATTATTTTTATTTTATCTGTAAAATAAAACATGCTTAATAATTATGCACACTCAGTTCCAGCCTTCATGAACAATTATATATCACTTATAATTTATAACTTATAGTATTAATTTAAAATGAATAGTAGTTATTAAGATTAGTGTTTTTTGGAATTGGTCAAATGTGCCTGGAAAAATAATATAATCAAAAAATAACATACCTAATAATTTTGCACACGGTGCATAAGTTCAAATTTTGCAAATTGATAAAAGTACTAAGTCAATATTATTGGCTAGAACAATTTTCAAAGACATTCCTAAGACCCAGACCAATTTTCTTCACCTGCTTAGACAAAAAGAAGACTTGCACATTTCTCGTACATGCTTCCCTGTCTGAGAGAGTGCTGTGAATCAATGAGAGAGAGAGAGAGAGAGAGAGAGAGAGAGAGAGAGAGAGAGAGAGAGAGAGACAGTAGACTCACGTTCCGTCCTCATTACTTCTGTAGAACATCATGAACGGATCAGAGCGGCCAAAGAAGTCTTTCTTATCCAGCTTATTGGCACAGAACTGCATTGTTGCACAGTCCTGTGGGGAAGAGAGAAAGAAGAAAAGGAAGTCCATGGGGGGGTGGAAGGAAAAATGGAAGGTAAGAGATTGAAAGAGTGCAGAGAGCAGCTAAATCTAGTGAAATCAGAGGCACACTGCTTTTTCTTGGGCAGCTTACAGTAGATGAATGATGAGGGTCTCTGGACCTTCAGGCACAATTCACCCCCACCATGACTCTAGTTCTATGTACGCATGCGCATTTTATAAAGGCATGTGCTCCAGACAGCTGCGTCTCCTTCTTATGATTTTTGGTGAGAAATCCTATTCTTTAAAAGACTGCAATAAATAATTTTCCCACAAATACCACTGACCCTGACAGCGGCTCAATATTTAGCTCTCAAGAAACATGGCTGGCCCTTGTTTAATCAGAATATTTCAAGCCACATCAATAATGACATCCCTGACATATTTTTCCAATGACTAGATTATAATGTTTTTGTTTACTGGAGCAGTTTTATGCTAATACATTTTGCAAACAGTTTATCATGATTCATGAGGCAGTGTTACCCAACAATATCGAGTGGTAAGGGATGATGTCAACTCTCTGAGCCCTGGTTCCCTTGAGATTTATAACAATATATATATATATATATATATATATATATATATATATATTTTTTTTTTTTTTTTTTTTTTTTTTTTACTGTATTTATGAGTCAAATAAAGCCTATGGTAAACATGACTTGACACTTTTGACTTTTTGTTCTACAACGTAAATTACAGTACACACCCATACTGAAAGCATGAATTTTGAAGTAGTTATGTTTATTGTTGAAAACGTACTTTTTTAATAAATAAATAAGAGAGATCAAAAGGTCAAAGTGTTTTGAAGTTATACTTTATACTTTTTTAGTATTTGAAGTTTATACGTTGTGAAGTTGACCATAGGATTTATTTACTGATAAACTGAAACCCCCCATTATAAAACCCATAAGAAAATAAGAACCAGTGTCGAATTAGTCATCCGGGTTCTGACCTCATACATGCTCCACTCTACGATGAAAATATGTGCAAAAAAAAAGAAAATTACTCAAACTTAAAATAAAATGTAAGCTAAAAAATACAAAATAAAAGCTAATTAATAAACATAACAATACTATATAAATAATACTAAAATAACACTTTACATGAATCAAGATACTAATTTAATTATTATTATTATGACACGATTTTACAGTAATGCATAAAAATAAAAAAGGTTTGAGGCTCCTAAATGGCTATTTTGTGCCCCAAATGGTTAATCTGTGCCTGCCATCAGCAAGCATCAATTCCATTTGAACCAATTAGCCACTAAACACCATCTTGCTTTGAGAGTGCCATTCAGAGAATGATCAAATTGTAGGCTGGAGTCAGTGAGAAGAGAGGAAGAGTGAGTGAGAGAAGAGATTAAAGAAGAACTGTAGAAAATTTCCAGAGGAATCAATCACAAGACACTTCGTCCAGTGTGTACTTGGTAAATTACAGTCCAGTAATGACTGAAATTGATCAGCGAACATAAACAGAAGCTCTTGCGGAAGCTCGAACGTGCTGTGTAGCACACGAGAATCCATTGGTTTACCACAACTGATGTGTGAATTGATAAATATTTATGTGAATAAAAGCCTACAGTAAATTCAATCTGTTCATCAAGCGATCGTGTTACTTCAGAAAATGTGGAGTGGACTAAACCACTCGATTCATATGGATTACTTTTAAGTTTTAGATCTTTATTTATTTTCCGAAGATGAACGAAAGTCTTATGGGTTTTGAACGACATAAGGGCGAGTATTTAATTAATTTTTGGGTGAACTATCCCTTTGTATGTATTAATTTCTTGAATAGCAAGGAGACTTTACTGTACATGCTAGTCTAGGGACAATTTACCTCAAATTTAATGGACAAAAGAGCACTAACTTTTTATTAGTAATGTAGGCTTATACATTTCTCAAATTGTTTCTTCCACTAAACCACAGTGTGAGGAGGACTTTTCTTATGATTAACAGGTCCATTAAAAAACTAGCATTAAAAATGATTATGATCCAATAAATAGAAACATAGCAAAATCATTCCAGCTGAAAACAATTTGAGCAGAGCAAAACAAAATATCAACCTAATCTAGCTTTGAAACCACCCAATTGAGCAATCAAGCATAAAGTGACAGTTTTCTTGGAAATGCTTTCTTCAGCAACAGTAAACAATTCAAGGATTCAAAGCCCTTCACATCACAGCGAGAGCTTCCCGTCTTTGGCCACAGTGTCCTTCATAGACTCACTCATTATTTTGGGTTTGTAGGATTTATCTGGTCTTTGAATGTGATTCCGCTATGTAACTTCTTGGAAAGAGACAGACTTTTGAAGATATCTGCTAAACCTCATCGCTAAAGTTTCCTCTCAACATGATGCATTTCCTCATAGATGTTCTTTGCACGTACTTGATAAAAACCCAGCATTTCATAATCATAACATCCTGTAAAAATGTTCGATCTCCCATGTGAAATATATATAGATCAAGCAGATGTACTGTACCAATCTATTACCTCCAAGCAGAGGGGAAAGGCTTTTTGGGTATTTCAAATGAGCTTGAGTGTGTGCATTAGATTGCTCAAATGAGCAGTCCTTTGTGTGTGTTTGAGCCTGTAGTCAACACAACATAGCCATTTACAACCTGGAAAAGCTGTAATTTACTCTGTGCTGCTATTTCTGCTATTTAATGAGTACTATCACCGGTGACAGAGTAAACTTTACTAGACAGTGAAACGAAACCAGAACAACCCAGTGAGAAGACATGATAAAGAGATGGGAGGGAAAGAGATGGAAACTTGTTTTCATGGATCACTGACCTCCTTAATCTACAGAGCATTGTTATATTTTTCCTTGTAGTCTGAAGAGAATGAGATCAAATAAAACAACTGTGGACTTCAAAACAATATCAATTCTATTACTTTAACTTTGCGAAAAATTGTAGTCTGAACAAATTAGTCTATTCTTTCAATTAATTTCACAAATTCCCTTATTGGGAATAAACTTTGAATCCATCAAAAAAGCAGATTATTAACAAATGAACATCCGTCTTATTTGAAATAAAGCAAGAATTCATGAATTCAATGAAATTAGTTTCATTACTAACCGGGAGTTCATATGACAATGCATATCAAAAGATCACCTTTTTCCAACCGATATTTAAAATTGTGTAAATTAAAACATTAAATGATTATTATATTATATAATAAATATAAAAAAGTATAAAATTTGGTAAATTTGATATCGTATCGTAGGAAACACATGGTCTGATTGCTCACCACACCGATTCATCAGTCTATATGCATGTCTACAGTATCAGCTTTCATCAAACGCCGCTTAATTAGCATTTTTCTGATCATTTTTCCAAGCCATCACTCCCATTATGAGAAGCCTCTTACATCTAGTGCTATTCACTGACACCATCTCGGACCCTTCAGTATCCAACAGCAATCAACACTTGATGTCAGAACAAATTTAAAATGCATAAGCAGAATATTAGATTGGATGCTTGATCCTCTTCAGTTTGTTAGGCCCAGACAATCAATGCAGGTTGAAACAAGAGTCCAAGACATGTAGAAAATGTGTCCAAAGTACTTCAAAGAGCATTTCAAAAATTCATATGGATCTTTGTGAGCATTCAAGTCTTTGAAGGGAACTTTAGAGACATCGTCCCCCTTGAATTATTTCAAATAGGTCACAATATCCATATCTCACTTTGATTTTTTAAAGCAATTTTAAGAAACGCAGATTATTTATACTCAAGCTGTGGCACCAGATGCTGCAACATTCTGTGTTCATTCTTCCTTGAAAACATTGATGTCAATTCCATGATCCTTTGGTTCAATAAAGAGCTCATCTGAAAATACTAGATTAAAGCATTCAGGAGAACAAGGGAAACCAACACAGCCTTCATTGTGTACTAGATCAAATGTTCTTACAGTACCCAATGGGCAATGATCTTCACTACTGTAAGCGCCGTCACTTTTCAACTGTTGCTCCATCAGCCCATGTTCTGGTTTTTATATAGTTAATGGCAGAGATAAAGGAAATGGCCAATTTAAAAGTTAAATTAAATATTAATGCAAACCTGCTGTGACTACAAATACCAAGGTTTTCTGTTATACCATTATTTATGCTTATAAAGCATTTTGTCAGTAAAATGGAAATAAAAGTATTAAAATATGTCTTTGGTGCTCAGTTGGTTTTTGAAGTTGTTTCTCTTTTGTCTGTGGAGATAACATATTGCAGTTCATTTCTCTGGAATAATGTATTTGGCTGCCAGGCAGTGAATAGTCTGATCTCAAGAGTAAAACAGTCAGCTTTCTTATCAAAGTGAATCATTTCAGTAAAGGTTTTCACTGCTGAAGAGTTACAAGCATTTCGAAAAGAATTGCGGTAGAAAAAAACAATTATTCAGAGCAAAATTATTCTGTGGAGGATAAAGTAAAACTGCTGACTTACCCGACAATTTCCAAGTTCCTCTGCAGTAAGAATAATGGTACCGCAGTTCTTCCCAGGGATGCCACTGAAAGAATAACACAGAGCATTAGTGCTAACGGTTCTGTGCTACTGGGAATAACAGAGCATGAATAGTGTAAACAAAACAAAAATACTGATAATAATGATAATAATAACCTGATACCCATATAATTATAGTCAAATACATTTCAGGATTGCACAAGCTTACATTTTTGGCAGATTCGCACCAGTTTATTTCGGTCAATCACTGAAGATTCTAATTTAGATGTCAACCGGTGCACAATCATGTAAAGGATTTTATGCAGACCCTGCTATGTGTGCAAAGAAGATCCATCCTCTCGTGTCTACTTCTGCCTTTAGGGTCACTGCAGACTAAACTTTTAAAGCAATGCATTAAAAGTGCTCAGGTGCAGAACTGACTCTCACTTCATTTGCAAATCTCCTTCATGCTTTGCATTACCATGTAAACTGTGGGAAACTGTTGTGAACTATGCGTGGGTTATAATAGTAATTATACTTTAAACCACAGTTTAACTTTCACATGACAGTGCATGCAAAAGTCTGGGGTCTGGTAAGATTTTGTTATGTTTTTTGAAAGAAGTCTCTTATTCTCACCAAGACTGCATTTATTTGAATAAGGTAAGTAAAGTAAGTCTATTTTAAAATAAATGCAATTTATTCCTGTGATCCCAAAGCTGATTTATCAGCATCATTACTCCAGTCTTTAGTGTCACATGATCCTTCTGATCCTTCTCCACCTGGTTTGGTGCTCAAGAAACATTTCTTATAGTTGAAACTGTTATACATCTTTTTTAGGATTCTTTGATTAATAAAAAGAAGTAAACAGCATTTATTTGAAAGAGAAATCTTTTGTAACATGTCACTTGGTTCATTAATACAATTTTAAAAAATCTTGCTGACCACAAACATTTATATTATAAAATCACATAATATTAATTTAGAATAGGTAGAGTCATTTCAACTAATCCATAGACCAATTATTGTTAAATAGCTTTGAGTTCAAATGGCTATAGAGGAAAAAAAAATCACAAATAAAAATATGTGGCAAGCAGGGCGGGGCCGAGAGCCGTGGGAACGGAACAAGGTTGGTGGCGTGAGTGATAATGAGCGTCACCTGCAATTCACACCTGAGGCGAGCTCTGGAATGATAAAAGGAGAAGTGGCAACACTAGCTGCGTTTACGTGGACCCTTATAATCGGATTGACGGCTCAATCGGACTTTAAAACCTTCATGTAAACACCTTAATCGATTCGACTGAGCTCGATCCGATTGAAAGGGGTGGTTAAGTCCTTTTGTAACCCGATCGAGAGAACATGTAAACACTTCATCAGATTGAAAACCGAAACTAAAAAGACTGCGCATGTGCAATGACGTTGCAATATCGTAATGACGTATGACGCACAGAACGAGCTTCTTCCTGTTGAATTAGGGGTCATATAAATGAGTGGTCCGTTATTAAAAAATTCTCATTTCACTCAGTGTCTGTGAAGTGAAGCAGGACAACATCCAACCAGTGCTCGTTTTAGATTCTCATCCACACACGACTTTTGGGCACAGGGTTTTACTGCGTGATAAATATAAGCAGCATGGCAATCATCGTCTCCAAATTATGACCAGAGACGGATAAATATTAAGTCTGTTGTTTAAAACAAATTGAGAACCAATAGAGGAGAATAGTTATGCGAGACCAGTGGCATATTCGTGCAGTGTGCGCATGTCAAAAAATCAATTTCGAAATTGAATCTTGTGACATATAAACGCGCACAACAACCCAATTATTTTATTCATCATTCATGTAAACACTGTGTTCAGATTCATCAATCGGATTGATTTCATTCCGATTGAACCATGTAAACGCAGCTACTGAAAGACGAGAGAGGACCAGGCCTGGAATCCACATTGTGTTTTGTTTGTTTGTGCAGCATCATCCATGAGAGGCTGCCGCTTTATTTTCGTCATGAAGTGTTTCATATTAACACTATTTATTATATCCTCCTTCCCTGAACTTTTAACTATATTACACTAAAGTTGAGAATTAAAAAGTAGCCCAATTCAACTCGAGTCACTGTAAAGATCTGAAATGAGGAAACAATGTGTCCTTTGATTAAAGGGGGCACTTCTGTAAAAACAAAAAAGAAAGAAAAAAACCTGAATAATTCAAATACACAATGGATTTCAGGCCAGTTTCCCCATTAACCTTCTGAAGTTGCAGGATCAGCCTCACCTCCACATATATGGAAAGGTCAGTGTTTGCTGCTGCTCATGTATTTCCCTCAGGTCTTAGAGATGATGACTTGTTAGATGAATTAAAACACATGGTGATCAATTTATTAAATATAAAAATATTTATTTGCTAAAGAAAATAAAAACTTTAGAATATTCTAATTTGTTCTCCAGTGTCTGTTCTGAAATTTCTAAACCAATTCCCCTTAAATCTTTGACAGAGTGGTAAGACGTATGGCAAAACTGAATCTTTGATTCAATTATTGAACATGAACCAGAAACAAGCAAACAGGGTTGACTGATGTAGTTCAGCTCATTTTCTAAGGTCATACCCTGATTAATGCTCTGCTTCCAAACTGCCAAAAGAATGATTGCTAACAACTCACAGCAATATTATACTTGTTGCACTGTAGTTGCAAGATACATGAACAAATTGACAACTGTAACAAGAGAAGCAATCTTTTATAACCATATTCATTAACAAGCTGTGCTATGTCATTTGATGCGACAGGAAAGTAAAAATGATGAAACTGTTTGAAATACGGCATTGTTTCCTATCACAAACCCCACTGGACTGGTGTGGCCATTTGTTTATTTGGAAAGTGGCTTTTAACACTGTGTGTTAGCTGTGCTATGCAGAAGAGCAAAATCAATGGTGCTCACGCCTCTTCCTGCTGCATTGCCAATTGATTAGAGTCCGATCAAACATTTGAACCGCTTGGTGCCTTTAGCCTGACATTGAACCCAGCACGCCGTTTTGTTCTTATTAATGAAACTCACTCAAGTTTAATTTTCCTTTCATTAAGCTTAAATTGAAGCTTTATTAAATTCAAGGCTCTCTGATTAACAAAGTTTATTTGAGTAGCATTTATTGGAAATAGGAATCTTTTTTTTTAATTATCAAGTTGTTGCTGACACTTTTACTCAGAAAGTTGATAGATACTTTGCAATGATGCAATGATTAGACACAAACTCCATACCTTACACAAACTGCAGCCTATGATTAGTCAATGGGCAGATTTTATTGGCATTCACAACATTGCACCTTCCCAGGAAAGCTCAATAATGCTGGCATAAGCAATATCACTCATCTAGAGCGAACACTGGCATGAGAAAGGAGATCAAGGCATCTTTTTGCACATAGCCAAGAGCTTGATATCAACTTTCCAACCTTTAACAGAGGCCAATGGAGATTCAGAGGATCAATGATTGTCCCAAATCCGCCATTCAAAGCCAAATGACGTATAAGTCAACATCACACAGCCTGACTTGTTCGCTGTGATCAAACAGTCCTTCAACAAAGTATGCACACCAAATCCTGTCCTTAAGGGACAGGGAGAATATTTTTACATACTGATCACAGATGAAAGAAACTTGGTTGTGAGAGAGGAGTTAGTAGGTATTATGCTGAATGTTTTCAGTCTTTGTAGCTGTTGTAGCTGTGCAGCATCTCATTTCACACGTGCAGGCCTGATTTGACCAATTCATGTGAGAAAAGCAGGTGATTTATGGAGCTACTCGTCAGCCGAACAAATTGCTTAGTACTTGTAATTGCTTGGTACGAGGTGATTCTATATGCTATATCAGAAACTATTCATCACATTGTTGACAAAGACTCCAGGGTTTACAATTAAGGAAGATTTCTCTTTATCCTTGTTCTCTGAAGAATCACAGAAAATTGTATAATGTGCCGAAGAATAAAACAAACTGCATTGTAATTAAACATTGTGTCCCATGATGTCTTAAGCCTGCCAAAAGCCCTCTGGGTAATCAAAAGTGCTTAAAATGTCATCGCATGTGACTAAGGAAGATGCATAATAGGATTTAACACTAGCCAGCATTGTCATTCTATACAGCAGGAAGTGAGATCTGTGGAGATGTTTGCACATTTCATCATTAGGATGAAGGATTACGTTGGTATTTAAGTAGACGGCAGGTTGACAGGTGAGAGAGGGGGAAAAAAATGAATGACCAATTAAGGGCCGGCGTAAGAAGCAAAATGGTGCTAGGGAGTCTTTGAGATTTAAAGTTTATAGGAAAAAAACAGTTAATAATGCTGTTAAAAATTGTTCAAACAATTGTTAAAACAGTAAAAATTATAAAATAATGTTAAATAAATAACACATTAAGCAAATTTGATATTATTATAAATATTTTCCAGTGTAAAATATGCTCCATTTAGACCTGAAATCATCTAAATGTGTCCAAAATGTGTGGTCCTGGTAAACCCCATTTTATGAGGACCAAATGTCCCAACAAGCATTGTAATACCAGACATTTTTAGACCTTGTGGGGATAATTTTTTGGTCTCTTTGGTATAAATCAAACCATATGATGTTTTTTGAAAATGTAAAAATGCAGAAAGTTATCAATGAAGGTTGTTTTTATTAAGATAATATATATTGAACTTGAGAAATAATCTAGAATGAGATAAAACTGAAAAAGGCAGATTAAATATTCAGGTGTTTCAGAGTATGTGAGCACGTATGTAACTAGAGTACCTGAAATAAACAGGCCTGTTTGAAAGCGATAAGCTGTGCATTCACAGACCATTGAGCTGCTAGGAACATTTACATTCATCTGTCTAACAAAGAGCTTAAGTGAATACGTTTATCCAGACACATTTCATGTGAAACTAAGACAAACAGAGCGGAGGGTGAAATATGACGGATCGCTGATTCACTGCGCAAAGCGAGTCGCAGTCAAGCTGCATTACATAAAGCTCCAGAACTCCACAAGGGGTTGGAATGAGATTATAACTTATAATCCAATTGCTTTTCATACTTGGACAGACCAACGTAATCCTTAAATACACCCGGATTTGAATTAAGATTGGTGCACCACCATTCTCCACCACTTGTGGAATGTTTCAACAGCCTCAAACGACTACACACAGCAACAGTGAATGTTCTGACAGCTGAAAAAACCTGCAAACCAAAGAAAATCAAACCTCTGGACATGATTTGCAAGAGGCTGCATAACCTATAATTAATAGGAAACCTCCTGGCTAACCAACCACTGCTTTATCATAATGAAGACTCATTTTCAGCATCCAGAGTTAAGAAGCTTCATAGTAAAACAAGCTTCAAGTGAATAATTATTGTCTATTGTGCAAAACAATTCATTGTTATTCATAAAACAATCAATTCAACATAATGGAGTACAGGATCTACCTCAGCTAAACAAAAGCAATTTATCTAGCAGAAGAGAAGAGGATGTTTGTTACAGACCTGAAATTGTGCTTACTCTGGGTATATGACTTTCCGTGAATGAGATATTCTTCAGAGAGTCGTTTTTATTCTTGCTACCACTGCCACCTGACTGTGCATAGGGATTGATAGCATTCATATCTATAATTCTGTTTGCTTTGGTCCTTATGGATATAGGCTGCTGCCTAGTGGAGTGAGTTTAACAATATGAAAACGTAAGCATGTCAGAGGTCTAAAAAAAAAAAAAGACAAGAGTCGATCCTTCTAGAGGTCAGAGAGATGGCGGTGTGCTTCGGTCCACTGATGAGACATTTATCTTGCCCTCAAGATGAACATAAGTGAATACATCAGCTATTATCAAAATTACATCAGGAAGGATATCCATGAGGTCAAATTTTTTCCGGCACTGGAGGTGTTTTACATGGTCTGTCTGCTATTTAAATACTCAGCCAAAAGCTATCATTGTATACTGTACATTATGACAACAATTCCCTTTCATAAATGACCCTAGCCAAAAGTGCTGCCCTAGATTGAATGGAAAATGCATTTCTTATCCTGACAGAATAGCTTAAAATTTCATTTTGTGATGGGGACCTATAAAAAAAAAAGAAAGCCCTGAAAAGCACCATCCTTCAGTGTGAATGTTTGTGAATTTGCATAATATGGAGCGGCTTAGACATCACGGATTTCGGCGCTGAATGTTTAAAACCCTATTTAATTCATCCAAGGTGATGGATTAACACTAAATTTTCCTTTCAATATGACTATTTAGTAAAAATAAAAAATAAAAAATCATATGCGATTTTTGAAGTTTTGCTGATCTACATTTCCAGTTCATCTACTATGGCTCAGATGTACTGTGTTTATATAAATTTAATAAAATGTTTAATGATTTTTTTTAAATGAAATTCAATAATTTTGAAACTGCAGTCCGGCGTTTTTCCTCTTTGTTGCCATCTCTGTTCGAAATCTGCAATTGCAGTAATTCGTGGAATTATCAACTTTATACGTTTAAGTAAGAAACATCCACTTTTGTTCTGGTTCTGACATTGGAGTAAATCGCACTGATTAAATATATCAATCGTTTATAAGTTATCATATCAAGCAAAACCGTGCAAATTATATTTTGTTCTCAAACTGTTAATGTTAACAACGTAAGCAAGTATTGTGTGACTATGTAATGTCCTTCCGATATTTATCCCTAGTTTCGCATGGGTCCGGTTGCTGTCTCTTTTTTTCTGTATAGCCACTCTGAATTCCGACCGGATTTTACTGCGGGTGAATCTGATGTCACTGGTGATTGTCGTTTGAACCTTTCTGGATCCGCAATCAAATTGATAAGTTTAATTATATCAAGTGCTGTGAAGAAAGGCTTTAAATCTTTAAATTAGCCGTGACTCCTTCTTTATGTGTACAGATGTGACATAATGACGCAAAGACTCAAATCTCCCACGGAAATCCACCAGTAGGCTACCACTGGAATTCAAAACATCATTACAAGCTTACCACTTTGAATCGAGCTATGGCAAGAAGATAGTTTTGAACACTGGCTGGTTATGCATTTTCTATGCAAATATGTATTTTGGATAATTTTTAACCCAAAAAGCCACAAACTGCAGAAAATATTAAAAAATACAAGCCAATATTAACTAAATGATTAATCTTTGTTAGAGCTGTGTTTGATTAACATTGATGATTCAGCAGCAGGTAAAATAGGTTGATGTCCCTTTAAGACTGAATGCACTGATACAATATAATGATACACATCCAAATTCTTTTTCTTTTCGTTTTCTTAAGACATTAAAGACTTTGTTTACGAGAAAACTTGCAGAGATTGGTTTTCTTACATAATTTTGTATATGTATGTCACTGTGTCCGCTCAAGCGCATTTAGGGGGAGCAAAAGAGGAATTACTTTGCTGTTCGCGCACTCTGAAACCCAGCTCTGTGCGCGTACAGATAACAGCATATGAATAAATCAATGATTAATGAATTGTATACTGTACAACATTTTTATTATAGCTATTACTTTGAAGAAAAATCAGTTTAATAATATGCATATAACTAAATCAACTTTTGTCCAATGAAAGTAAACTGTCGGATCAAGTAGAAATAGCTCCAGTGTATCAGAGCAGCATCAAAGCACATTTTTTGCAGTTTATTTTTCTTGAGGGGAATTTTGGGGGGACTGTGGCCATAACTGAAGTCAAAAGCTTCCTCATAAAGATTCCTCTGCCCTGTCTGCTGTTGCACTCCACAGCTCACAGTTAGTTGTGCTTGTTGTGCTTTTTGTCTGGCTACCATTTAAATTTGAAAGACTTTTTTCCTCAGTTAAAAGCTCAAACAGCCTGCAGTCAGAAACACGTGGCTGTGTTGTCCCACCAGAGCATCGAATCTGAGGCCTATATAAGACTCATTGGCCCATATTTTTCTCTCTCTCTCTCGCACTCTTTCTTTTTCCTGCCCCCTCCCCCTCCCTCTCCCATTAGTCAATGCAGCTCAGCATAGTGCATTTCCCGAATCAAGGCATACAAGTCCTGTTTAACGCGGATATAAAGCACAGGCCCAATCCATCAAGCATGACGTACGGCAAGGCAAGTTTATTTATATAGCACATTTCACACACAATGGTAATTCAAAGTCCTTTACATAGAAGAAATTAAAAGAATCAAAACAAATAAGAATAATTAAAACGGTTTAGAATAAAAAAATAAAAAATAAAGAGTCTAGATTTGAAAGGGACTCCTGTAGGAGCACATCTGATCTCCTCTGGATGCTGGTTCCAGCTGTCAATCATCAATTTCGCAGCTATAGCGCTCTAAACTACACTAGAACACCAGGCTACGGCCCATTTCAGCAAGATCTGAGCAGACAGTTTAAACCAGGGGTCTCAAACTCGCGGCCCGCGGGGTGATATTTTGTGGCCTTCTGTGGATATTTTGTGGCATCTCATATAACCCATTGCCAGGACGTATGTTTGATTACTTACTGTACACCTTTGCGGAGACTTGTAAGTGTCACACTACAATTGGTTCCCCTGGGGTTTGACATTCTGCTTGGTTTTCCAGATTTCCGTGTTTGCCTGTGTTTGTCTGACCTCTGTCTTTTTAGATTATCTGCCCTGAGTTTTGACCTATTGCCTGTTTTATAGATTATGATTCTGGATTGCCTTAAGAAAAACTGGATCCTCAACCCATGTTTTGGAGCAGTTTGTGACAGAAGCCTTGGTGAGCCTTGGTTTTCAATAGCATTAAAACAATCTTACCAACTTTTAACAGTAGTGTATGTGTATTTTTTGTAGTGTAGACCATTTCTTAATCTATATGCAAGTAATTTCTTAGTATATGTGGCTCAAAAACACCAATGTAACACCCCTTTTTACAGTGTAGATAGATAGGCAGGCAAGAAAGTGGCTGGTAATCTGTCTGAGATGGTTTCAGGCACAACCGTTGTGCCCATACAGCTTTTCTAACTTTGAATACATCCCGATCTGATTGAAGAGGTAAGCGTGGCTCATAGAACACTGCATTAGCTTCTTACCCCAGAGGCTTTTCCAGATGACTGCCTGGTGAACCCACTATCTCACCCAGAGTGCAGAAGGTCTGGCCTAGGAAGTCCTACAGAAGGGCGGCCCAAACAAAAGATGGCCCAGAGGACACAGGATCGACACGCAGGAAGTAAAGGAGAGAGAGAGCAGAATGAGTCAAGGTGTTACTGGGTATAAATGAGTTGTACCGGTAAAGAGATAATTCTAGGAGTGCAAGGCAGAGACGTACGTTGAAATCGGAGGGCTTCCAGGAGGGAGGTGAGGCCGCAAATATATCAATAACAACAGAGCATATCATGTAACAGAAAAGACAAAAAAAATAAAAAAAACGGATTGAAGAAGTCAGGCCGAAGAGGATAGGAGAGAAAAAAAGAGAGTTAGAGAATAGTGAGAAAGGATCTCGGAGAAGAGAGAAAGGGAAAAACACCCACAATGATCACAGATTACAAACCAAAACAAAAAAGAGTGAGAAAATCATAAATCTGAATTTCACAAAAGATGACACACACACACACACACACGCACATTCGGTTGGTTCTATACAAAATAGTAATTTCATAAACCCCGGTTGACTGCATAGTTTTGGCTCAGGTTTAATATTTATGCAACTCAAACTATGATGCAAAAATTCCCAAAAACCTACCACCAATTTTATAATACTTACAGTAATTTGATAATGCATAATAATAATAATAATTATTATTATTATTATTATTATTATTGTATAATGAATTATACTTTTCATTAATTTCTCTAAGCAAATCGTTTTTTTATTACAATTTAAAGTATTTTTGTCTTATTAAAGTGTAATTTACATAGAAAGAAAGCTTGTTTTCAGCTTGTTTATCCTTTTTATCCATTTAATAAGGAAAAAATTGTCTGTATTTACAACACACTGTATTTGTCTGTATTTACAATACACATATAGGCCTCAGACATAAGTCAAACACACTGCAGAATACAGTGCTATATTGTGCAATTGTGAGCCAAAGAAACTGTTTTATTAGAGAGCCAGAGAGAGAACTTTAGTTCTTCAGTTTTGCACAGCTTTGATAATGATACAAAGTATGACATCATTTTGAATCATTTTAGATTGCATAAAACCAACCGCAGAATGAAGAAGCATGCATGTCAAAATGTGCAATCGCCAAAGAACTTTCATAAACATCTAAGCAAACACACATGCACATACACATACAAAGTGTTGCTATATATACTCACGTGTTTGGCCAGATCAGGACTTTTGGAGTCAATGTCATATCTGAAATCCAAAAAAATAGCTTATGTCAGTATTGTTAGATTTGTTTATTTATTTTTTAAATTGACATTGTATAATGTTCAATTAAAATGTCTTAACTGGACCTTCCAGTGAAAATGAAATACTTCTCTCTCTAATGGCGTATGCCAGACTTATCCAATAATTTATTCCACTTCTGCAAGCTCATGTTCATCTGCCGTCACTTAAGAGCAATCAAGAATCGATGCACAAACCAAGTCCTAGATTTTTTATTTTACAATAATTCGTCACACTCGAATGTATCACAACATGGAGAAAAAAAAATGGTGCATGGTGATTTTAACAAATCAAAACTTTGGTTGTCATAAAAAAATTATTTCCGAAAAAAATACAAGATACAATTATACAATTTTTGCAATTACATTTCGCTACTGTAGAAAAAAATGATACGTTTCACCCTAAATCGGATCACTGATAGTCTGTATTTAAATTCTTCCCTCTGTTAAAATGTGAGTGGGTGTGCTGTTCTGGGGCACAGCTGGTTGGTTCTGTGAATATTTGCATTTGTATAAACAAGAATTGACATAAACGTGGAAGGTTTCTCACTGACAACACAGAAATCTCCAGCCTGCACTGCAGCAGCCCCTTTTCAGCTCAGCAGATTAACCCATTTAAGGTGGTAAATGAGAGCGAGATGGACAGGTGCAGGGAAGGAAGGAATGCGTTATAAATCATCAGGGATCCCACGCCACACATTTGCTTTTGAATCGCTTCGTAAAGATTGAGAATAAAACTCATCTGAAATATTTACCACCCTTTAACTGATCCAGCCCCTTACACATGACAGTCAAGAGAGAAGCAGCATCAATAATTACAGAGGAAGGCGCACTGGGAGAGGGAGAGACAAACAGACAGAGCGAGAGCAGAAACCCTGGAGTGGGACAGCACATCGGAGAGTGCGGCAGATTTCTGTGTGTCAGCATCAAAGGGAATAACTCACATGTCAAAGCGAAGATTCTGTTTCTCCTCAAAGAAATAGTCCAGGATGTACTTTCTCACAAAGTCTGGGTTCAGGGTGTTGTCAATGACTTCAGTTCTCCCAAACTACACAAAAAGAGAGAGAACATCTACATGAGAATGATAAAGTTGTCACAGTGCAGCCATCTCTGTCCAGTCCATTAAAATCCCATTTTTTCTGACTCTGCAGTCATAGGAAAATAGAAGAGCTGATATTTTGAAAGGATGAAGTATCAATGCTTCTAACGAACAACAAGAACCCCTGCTCAGAATCAGTAATGTGTATGTTTGTGGGGCACGTATGTGTGCATGTGTATGGGTGTGTGTGTGCGTTTGTGTGCAAATGAAGACTACTCAGGTAATAAATATCCAGGAATATGCATGACTTCATGCCTCTGAGCACATGTCTGGGATGTAAATTTAATAACAGTCTATTCATCCAACATATGCAGTACTGCAAACAGTGAACTCTATGCTATCTGTGCTATATATGAATTACTGTGCAACCACAAACATTCCCATTTCAAAACATTCCCTATGTAACATCCTCTGAAAAAGCAGAAGGCCTTTCATTCCAGCTGTGGCTCATCTGGCGCAAAGGTGGAATATTGCAGAAAATATTATTCCGATTTTCTAGACTATTTTAAGTCATAAAGTGAGGAGCAGGATTAATACAAATTTAGCATATGTATTCGGCAGGCATGTATTATGATACTAAGCGGGGCAGCGGGTAAGCCCTCCCCCCAGCTCTACCTGCAGTGCGCTCTAATTAAGAGCCATTGGGGCAGTTTCAGACTGCCCTCCTTATTTTCATGTTACCTTGCGTAAATCTCACTCCAGACCAAGGCGATATCAATCATCTTCGACTGTGTAAATTATTCTGCATCAGGTCAGTCTTTTCTTATGTGGAGTATCATATCAAATAAATAAAACTATACTGTTCTGTTGTGTTTGTTTCATGTTTGACTTACTTTTCCTCACTGGAATTCCTCTAAAACTTGTAATATTTTAAAACTACATTTGGAGATAATAAATACTACATTAAGGCAATTCAAAGATAGCATTCGATACAAGCCACCCTCTGGCTGAATAATCCAACCCTTATCAAAAGTGTTCTGCATGTGTTCAGCGATTACAACATAAAGCTTATAAAATGGTTAAACTGCCGCTAAGACCCAGAATCTCCCCTTCCTACATTTTTGGTCAAGAGCTGCTAATTGATTTACTAATGAGAAAAGCTTCTCTTCATCTTCTACCGTCTCTGTGTGGATGTGTCCATTGTTGGTTTTATGTATGAAACTTAAATCAAAGTTTGGAATTAGAGACAGCTTGGGTAAATGTTTCAGAATCAAATGACAGTGTAAATGAAAAGGAGGAAGGGAAAGGAAGAAAGTCAAGCATTTGAGAAAAAAAGATGGAAAGAATGACAGTTTGAGGCAGTTTTATTTTAGTATTATTATATACAGTATTATAGTAATATTTAATAAAATGTAACTTAATTCAGCCATTCTAATGACAGACAAATCCGAAAACTCTCTGGTTAAAATCCTCATATCTCCATTGAGCTTGATTGTGGTAAAATGTTAGCATTTTTGGAGATACAAGGATTCCGCCCAACATCGACAAATGGTTTGAGAAGAGAAGAGAAGAGAAGAGAAGAGAAGAGAAGAGAAGAGATTACAGAAGCCTGTCGTCTTTGCACTGTATTCTTGAGGGCTGCACTGCAGTCGGTTCCCTCAGCTAATTGTGTTTTCCATGAATAATTAAACAAGATGAGGCAGATGAGAAATGCATAAATAAATGAATCACAAAAAGGGTGTTACAACACCCTGGCAATGCAGAAGTGAAGGAGACAGCTTATGAGGGATAAGGGAGTGATGTGGTGATTTAAACATACTGTAGGTGATTTTGAAGACCACAGTGGTCTTGTAAACTAAAGGATAAAGAAAAACACTATCACAACAGTCTGACCTTCTTACAAGCCTGAACCACAAATAGTCCTAAATCTATTAGGTTAAATTTAAATTTCAAGGCCATGAACATAATGACTAAACTTTCTCAAGCAAGGCTCTGTGATAGCAGAGCATAGTGTCATTAGCATTCACAACATAATGCTTTATGTGCTGCTAATAAGACCTCACAGTCTGGCTTTACTTTATCATTTCACCGGCTGCTATAAATCATTCTGTAGACCTGCTGCTATATAGAGTCATAACGCCTTTTATGGGTGTCATATGGTGCATTATTCTATTCGGCAAGTATGGCACTGGTTTCCAACAGCCTTTTTGTCTCTTTTTGGAGAGAAATCCCAAAGAAAAAACTGAGAGAGGAGATGCAAAGACAAACAGTTAACTTAAATCAAAACTGCTTTTGGAAAAGCTTTACCACCCACTGAGTGTTAGAGTCAAAGCCAATGCAGATAAAGCGTGTTGTTCAGACAGGAGAATTAACACAAGGTCACATTCAGAAATTATTTGTGATTTTTGGACCTCGCAATAGCAGTAATGAGACAAAAAGATGTGTGTAAAAAATGAAGGTTCATAAAGTTAATTATGATGCACAGAAGAGAAAAATAAAGAGAAAAATGGCAATGATGAAAACGTTCAAGTACCAAGTGAAAATTAAATCATCATGGGATCTTGATTGTCAATAGTCAATATAAGAAGGAAGAAAATCTGTGTGACTTTAGAAAGTGAGATTTAAGATATTTGGGATTTCTAGACGTTTTCATTCTAATTGTATGAGAATGTGGAAGTCCGCACCACAGATATAACAATAACGACACAGAGAGGAACAATATCATTTAAATCACTTTCAGAGCAATTTTCTTAATAGCAAATTAGAATCTTAAAAGACATTAGGCTAAACGTTTAATGCAGCAGACAACATAACGCTAATTACAAATAGTGTTATCGTCTATTGGTGTTGATGCTAATACAATTATCAATATAGTTATCTGTATAGTCATCATTCTTGATGTGAATCGGTCTTTAGGCCTTAAGGTTTCAGATTTTTTTTTTAACTGCAAATCATGTTTACAACTTTCTTAAAGGTGTTGAACATGATTTTTTAAATCGGCATGCCACTCAGAAAATATGCCTATTAGTTATATTTTTTGTTTAGTCAGGCAAAATACATTGATGTGCTTTCTGCTTCCGTGCAATCATGGACAGCTATTAAACTGAGAGTGTGGTAGTGGAAGCATTATCATTTATGTTTAACACCATTTTCAGCTTCGTCAGTAGTTGTCAGGGGTGTGAGTTGGGGTGTGAGACAGTGAGAACACTATTTTGATTTAAAAAGGGGCATGTCTATCTCAGTCAAGAGGAAACTCCAGAAAGGATTACACATATAGTTGGGGGCGTGGTGAGGGCGGAGTCGGCGTGGGTGAAAACACAGCAAACATTGTGTGTATTAGAATGCCAAAAATGTCTTATTGCGAGGCAACTATTAATGCTTTTGTAAAACGGTGATCAGTAGTACGAAGTTGCCGAGAGACTGTGCTGACAGGTTAACGGGTTCACGTCATTACATAGCGATTGTCCTATCAAGCCAATCTTCAGCTGACAACGCTAATGTGAATGAGACATCCCTTATGAAATACAACCATTGGAATCTTGTATTATTTTAGGATAAAATATAGCAATCCTTAAGGAATACTATAGTATTTTGGGACAATAAGTACTATAGAGGTATTACAGAACATCACAGAAGTATTATAAAACAAATCTTCTAGATTACTATAGTTCTTTTTCGTAAGGAAAGTAGACAAATCTGGCCCACTGCCTAATATGAGTTTAACACACACTACTATATCACACAGGGATCTACGCACAGTAATCTAAACAATTACAAGTCCATGGAGGCTCACATGATTCTGCGTGTTTATTAGGAAGGATGTAGAACTTCAATAAAAAAAAAAATGATATTGGCAGTACAGAAAACGACACAACAACTCTTCGGCATGATTATCCCATGTATTTCAATGAGCGCCAAGGAAATGTTTTCTCCCACGAGATTGTTGATTAGATAATTGCATTAATGAGAAATTGACAGGGCGTTCCCAGACAACCGTCTGTATATAGGCCTATGTATATACTCTCACCTAAAGGATCATTAGGAACACTTGTTCAATTTCTCATTAATGCAATTATCTAATCAACCAATGACAGCAGTTGCTTCAATGCATTTAGGTACAGTCGTAACCCGAGACATTTTCCCGTGCCATGTCCATAGACACGCTAACTAATCATTTGTCAGTTGCGTCTCTTGCTTCTCTGTCTTCACAAGTTTCAATACTTTCAACATAAAAGTCTTCTCTACTGACTGACTCACCCATAATTATTATTGGGGTTTTTTTTCTGGGAGGGGGGGGGGGGTAAAGGGGTGAAAGAAAGAAAAAACAGGAACTAAAATGTCATTGTTAACACTGATGTTCACTGATGTTTTTGACTGATGTTCATGTTCAATAAAAAGCAAAATGAAAAATAAATTTAAAAAGACAGTCTTAGCTGTCATCTAATGGCAAAATAATTATATTTTGTTTATTAATTATAATTAATAAACATTTTTCCAGTAGAAGGAAGGCTTTTAGTGATTGTCAAGAAAGTTGCACTAATACATATTTTTAGCATTATTGTATTGTGTGGTAACCGTTTTATAAAAGCAATAAGGTACTCGAGGCTACACTCTTTAGCCGTGATTTATTCACAAAACAGCACAGCCTCTCGTACCTATTGTTTGCATTATATGTATGAATATATATCTTTATATATATATATATATATATATATATATATATATATCAGTAATAATAATTTATTGAACATTGGTGTATTTTTTAATTAAATATTTAAATCAATAAGCAACAAGCATTGTTTTACTACATTTAAGCTGATTTTGCACATAAAAACACATTATGCACATTATGCATGGTAAAATCTCTGTGTGTGTATATGTGTATAACTGATTGGTTTCATTGCTAATTAAAAAAGAATTAAATACAACAAAAACAAGAAAAAAATTGAAAGAAAGTGGAATACAGTAGTGAAACCATGGGCACAATCACTCAGTGAAAGGAAGGAGCTTATGCTGTGTTAGTAACAAAGAGTAACAAAGAGAGAGACACGCATCCCAAAGCTCCTGCTGAGACAGAGAAAGCACAAAGAAAACTCCATCCTTATCAATCCCATACAGCTTGACTGCCTCTTTTCCACAGCGGTTGGTATTATACCCAAACAAGAGGCATCTTACATGGGCAGAGGCATGGAGATAGTCAACGCAGCTAATCGGAGTTAGAAACTTGCTCAGTATGTAAGTAGTCGTCTTTCATCATCATGGGAGAAAGGTGTTCCATCAAAACCTGAGCTGAAGGAGGAGGACTGACACCAATGTTTTATTTTGGGTCAAACTGTTGTTACAGCTCCTCATGCGCACATCGTGACATTTACAACCACTTTAACGCATTCATGTCGGCCTTGAAAGCACCTGCTGGAACAACTGTCACCTGCTATTAAGGGATGTCATTAAAAGGGTCTCTGTAGCACAAACCAAAACTTGCAAAAAAGCAAGTACCGCAATGCAATTTTTCATATTCAGGGGCTTTTAGCTCAGGGATGGATATGATAGCCCCGCCCGATGACGTCCATTTTTCAGCTGATTGTAATGACCTACCAAATCCAAAGGCCAGGTCCTCATAGCTAAACACATGCAGCTTAAGTCTGAAAAATCACATTCAATGAGCTGGGAAGCATCACAAATGCCCTGGCCTGTAACTTTAGAGCAAGATCGACTTAAATGCTAATCGCTAACGGAAAGTGTACAATCATCTTAACAGCCAATCACTAAGGGCCATGAGGACACTAGATTCATGAATATTCAAATAGAGAATCAATGAGCAGTGATGAGCACCAGAGGGCTGTGGAGAGAGTGAAGGGGGTGGGAGACAGAGAGGATATGCAGAGCTGATTAGGGGAGATGAGGGAGTCTCTGTCAGAGCTGATTGTAGGTTTGTTCCCGAACGTGGACACTTACCTCACGCCACTGCTTAGACTCCGCTCCCTGAGTGTACAGAACACACACTGAGTAGATGAGAAAAGGGGAGGAAAAAGAGAGAAATCAGGCTGCAGCTATTTCATTTTTTAAAAAAGCTTTTAGGATACAGTTAGTGTAGATGCATCTCTGAAGAACAGGTTAAAAGCTAGAAGCGTAGTTCATGATTAAAACCATTTTTTAAATCAAATCAACACATTTTCCTAAACTAACACTGATTTAATGCTACAAGGCAGTTAAACTGACCAATGGAAAAGTCAAGTCAAGTCAAGAATATTTATATAGCGTTTTTCACAATATAGATTGCATCAAGCAGCTTCACAGTATCAGTCAAAACATAATAGTACCAATGTTCGTTTCTCAGTGGAAAAACATCCACGTTTGGTAGAGCTGATCAAGGGTATTATTGATTGGTTAATTAATTTGAATATCACCAACTGAGCCAGCCAAAGGCAACAGTGGCAAGGAACCCGAAAAACTCCATCAAGTGACCTAATGGTGTCCTTAAACTCTATCAGGTGACCCAATGGAGAAAAACAAAAACCTTGGGAGATCCCAGGCTCAGTCTGGGGCCAATTCTCCTCTGGCGAATTTTTTTCTGAACATTTCAGAACATTTTTCTGCATTTTTCTCCTCTGGAAAAGAAATGTCTCAAATGAAATCTCTTTTTTTTTTGTCTTATAGACAGCAATTAAATTAAACAGAGAATAAGTTTTCATCTTACATGTGTCTCCTGAGAAATAGACCTAATCATTTTCTATTGTTACAATCTTCCAAAAAATTTAATGTTTTTAAATGATTTTATACAATTGTTTTAAAATTGATACTCTGTGTAATCAATATTATTAGTTTATGATTAAGAATTTTAGGGGAAAAATGTTAAGACGTATTAAGGATCTAAAAATTAAGTTAATATTTAACCCTCAAGTTCCATGAAAATTTTAAAAACATTTGGGTTCTCAGACGATTCAACGGAAGGTTAAAAGGTCAACGTTTAACTACCGGGTTTTTAAGGGATCAAGGACATAATGAGGAAAAAATGAACAAGGTACATTTTAAAATGATTAGTTTTACACCCATTCTGTGGAACATGAAGGTTAAATGAAACTGAACTGAGACTTCCAATAATTTAATAATGTTGAACATCAAGTTTCATTGATGAAAAAGCAACCTCTAAGAAAGAAACATAGCAAGGATTAGAATTACAAAGGAAGCCAGACTATTTGACCTATTGCTCTCTATTTCATAATCCCATCTCTTCAGCGAGACATTTACAGTACACAAGTCCCCAATGACTCATGCAGCATTTGTATTCAGGGGGCTGAGTTCATGCTCTGCATATTTTAAGCACTTCTGCATTTTTCTTGATAGTGAAGAAAAGCTGTCACATTGTGATGCAAATTCTATGCATGTGTTTTAGGCAACTTGGAGAAATAGCAGAGTAGACAAATTGCAAAGTGTGGAGAGTATAAGAAAGTCAGAGAGGAGGTGTGTGGAACCTGAAGACAACCTGAGAATCTGAAAACATTTCAGTGAGGTATACGAAGCCTGGGGAGCGAGATTGTGTGGGGGAAAAAAGAGATTTTATAGAGATTTTTAAAAAACAAGTACTTCAGCCATGGGAAAAAAGAGAAATACTTACAAGGATCAGACTTGGAGAACGTGTCTCGATCTAACAGGTTTCTGGAAGAAAAAAAAAGTAAAATTAAGGGCTAATAAACTCGGTCCCTCCGGTCAAACAGTTCAGTCATACAATGAATTAAAGGCCTCACAAATAAACCAGATGGAGCTCTCATTTACATGTTATTTCCGAATCCATTCATTCTCTTCCATTAGCAGCCACAAAACATCTCTTGACATGAGATTTTGTCAATGTCACTATGTTTTGAAGCAAATTACGCTTCCATCATGATATATGAAATAAAGAAGGCATCTCGCTTTTTTGAATGCATGCACATTGTTCTCCAGTCTCTCCAAACATTCTACATTTGGCTCCAGGAACATTAGCAAAGGACAAACACAAAATGAAAGGATCTCTATTGTCAATGCTTCATAAAACACATACATTCGCATACACTTTATGGGTAGCAAGTAAACTGTATCCCAATAACTCAATAACATACATTTGAAATCCTTGCGAATACATTCATCAAGTAATTAAATATCTTTCTATACAGGTATTTTACAAGCAAACAAAGAGCCTTCTTCATTATAAATATTAGGGATGTAATGGTACACTCTCAGAAAAAAGGTACAAAACCCGTCACTGGGGCTGTACCTTTTCAAAAGTTTCAAAATTTTAGGTGCTAATATGGGCATTAAGGTGCTAATATGGACATTTAGGTGCTAATATGTACATTTTAGGTGCTATGTACATTTTAGTTGCTATTATGTGCATTTTAGGTGCTAATATGGACATTTAAGTGCTAATATGTACATGTTAGGTGCTATTATGTACATTGTAGGTGCTAATATGGACATTCTAGGTGCTATTATGAACATTTTAGGTGCTAATATGTACATTTCGATGCTATTATGTACATTTTAGTTGTTAATATGTACATTTTAGGTGCTAATATGTACATTTTAGGTGCTATTATTTACATTTTAGGTGCTAATATGTACCATTAAGGTACAAATATGCACCCTTTAGGTACTTTTGAAAAGGTACAGCCGCAGTGACAGCTTTTGTACCTTTTTTTCTGAGAGTGTACATCAGTGATTGTCCCAAACTGTGCGGTACGGACATCCTGGTTTGGTGCATGCAGAAGAGACTATGTTCGGCAGTTTACAGTGTTTCAACAGCAGGAAGATATAAAAAAAAAGCTTGAGAATCACGATATCTCACATAGCATTATATTTACCTTAAATTAGGTTGGGCCTTTAGGAATAATATAAAAGGTACCACTTAGATTCCACGAAGGGGTCCATCAAGAACTAGAAAGTTACTCTGATCATCTCGAATCAATCCTTGCACCTTTGGTTAAAAAAGTTAGCTGAAATGACAGATTATCTGTGTGCTGCTGTGATTTTTCACATGCCCATCTTTGGCAGCTACTGAATTTTACAGTTTGCTAATTGAGTAACTGACAAGTTGTGATTAAAAACAGAAAAACATTAGATACATAACAAAAATAAATCAAAATGATGCTCAAAAACGTTTGCAGAATGTACAATTCTGTATCCCATTCAGCTCTTGACATCTGATCTTATTCTTATAAACTGGATCTTGTAATCAGCGCTGATTGAGTCAGAGAGTGATTCTGGCAGACAGGTTATTTTATACAATTATTTTAAAATTGATACTTTGTATGCATTCTGGTGGGTCTATTATTCATTTCTAATTAAGAATTTTAGGGGGAAAATATTAAGATATATTAAGTATCTAAATATTTAGTTACTATTTAACCCTCAAGCTCCATTAAAATGAGAGTCTCTGAGAGTCTGAAATTACTATAGTCGCATGATTATACACCTAGAAATTGAGAGGGGCAACAACAACAACCGTTTGATTCGATTCGACAGGCTTGAAAAATATCTAATTTCTGTCACAATATCACTGTCAGAGAAACTGTTTTTTGATTAAATTGTGTATGTGGCCCTGGACTATATAATTGGTGTTTGAATATTAAATTGTTATCTAATAGTTCAGTGTCAGCTACAGGTTGTTAATGTGTGCTGTCATATCAAACCTCTAACAAAGACAGGAGAAAAACACTGTCACTCCTCCTGCAAATGAAAACCTTTTAAATGAGTCTCTCAATCCTTCAACAATGGAAAATAGAGCCCGAAAAATAGACATTTAATTAATGCGGAAACTAATCATTTAACTGAACCCAAGCAGTGTTTGAAAACCAGGATAAAAATCCTCATAATATTGAACTTAAAGTCATGTGTATTATTTTATTATTTGTCTGTTCTCTGTATTATAAAGAGGTCGGCATTGAAATATAGGGATGCATGATATATATAGGCCACCATATCGGTATCGGACGATATATATTAATTTTTAAAGTTATCGTTATCGGCCTGATAAGATTTTCGGATAATTAATGGATTTTTTCCTTCAGCTGAGATGCTTCAGATGTGCGCTGTTCGTCATGATGGGTTTGAATTGCTTGAAATATGATTGGAATCATTTTAAAAAGGGGAAATATGGTTAATCATATAGGCTACATAAAATTATAATGAGAATATTATAATTGTGTGCTTGGGCTTGGATTTAGATTTATCTGCCAATATTTTGTTTATTGGCTTTTAGATATAAATAATTATCGGTTATTGGTATCGGCCGAAAATATGCACCAAGAGAGAATTAACAATATTCTATGATATTTGGCCATTCAAACACTTCTGGAAAGCCATTATAGTCTGCTGAAATTGGCTTTACTGTCTGAACATATAGAAGCTCTGACAGATCTGTGATGTTCAAACACAGACCATAAGTTCAAATTAATTCCTTTGGGCTTTGAGGCAGGACTGCATTCTAAGAGGAATCTTAGAACAGTAGTTTAAATGTCTGAGGTTTGAGAGAAAGGATTAAATTTAGCCATTAAAGACAAGATATTAATCAGATTTACACATAAATAAGTCATCAATGCCTTGCTTGTCATGTTTTTTTTTTTTTTTCTGAGGTTCACATTTAAATGTTAGTGAAGCTACTAAAGAGACTAATATCATTCTTAAAGTTATACAATTTCTTCTGTGGAATGCAAAAGATGATTTTCTTCAAAATATCTTGTGTTCCACAGAAGACAGAAGACAAAAAGACAAACCGAGTTGTCTCAAAAAAGCAACAATGAAATTTAATTTAATTTGGCTTTCACCGTAAACTCACCTGTCAATCATCTCGTCACAGTTAAAATCCTCCATTCAATCTAATTTAATTTCTTACCGTTTCGGAGAGAAATGTTGTCGCACGTTCACCTACCAGTCGTGGATCTTTCATGCGGAGACTCTCCGAATGTGTTTGCAGTTTGAATGTAATGATGCTTATAAAAGTTATTGGCTAAAACTCTTTACAAAAGTTCACAATGGTGCTGCAGATGCAATGTAATAATGTAGCCAACATTGAATAAATGCATTTTTGTCAGGTTAGATAGTACTGATAATTAAACACTTAAACCCCTTTATAAACCTCTCTATATAATGCCGGACTCGCGCGTCCCCCATGTCTGTAGTTTTTTAACACTTTTCACTCGGGAATGTAGTTCTAACCGAATCTGATGGGTTGTGGGCAATATCAGCCGCTAGAGTGTGCATCGATCTGCACTTCGGATTCTGACCGGATATAGTAGACCATCCGGGTCTCTTTGAAACACTCATTTCAACATGCTACGATTTGGGATGTACTAATTCTATTTTCGAATGCTATTTAGGACGGATAGTATGCGAATTGGGATGCAGCTAATGTCTTATTGGTCAGAATTCCTCCAAAGGGTTGGACAGACCTCTGAGTTTAAGATGGGATGGCGAGACAGAGATCCGATCAAGATCAGAGCTGAAGATGGGTTAAGACCTAATAGTTTCATGCAAGCCACCTGACTACTCTCATCTCACTTGCTTTTCTTACTTTTGCTTAGTTTCTTTTCTTTCCCATTGAGTCTCGTTTTCTAAGTTAATTTTTTTAGCTGAAAAGCTTCAGTGAAAAGACTCTAAAGACTTTCCTAGCCTCAAACTTCAAACTTCAGCCACAAGAGAGACTACGTTTCCATTCATCCGCCAACAGAGGGAATCGCCAGGAAAGGACGCCAAAAATAATTCAATTAAATAAAACAATTAAAATATGTTTCTGAACTCAAGAGATGTTTAGATCTGGCCGAACAGACTTGTAATTGTAGTGTAGTGTTCTGTTGATGATTTGACTGATCTGTGTGCTGTAACACATCTCACTTTGAAAGGTGATATTAGCACCACAGATTTCTCTTTGCCAAGGAAGTGGTCTGACACTATTGGGCTTGTGATCCAATCTCCATCTCACCCCCGCTCTCCCAGAACCAGTGGCACTGTAATTGGCACCCTCATGCGGGAGACGCTATTTCAGCAGAGGGGATCAAAATAGATTCTAAACTCCTCAGCCAATGAATCCTCATTGGTTCAAAGAAGCAGGAAAAAGTAATTCAAGCTGCTATCTGGTTAAGGGGGGCAAAGAGAAATTTCAGAGTGCATCTCACCCAAAAGCCAAATACCTTGAGGTGGAGGAGAGGAAAGGATCATGTCGCTCATCTGGAATGAAAACTCTTGTAGTCTGGCCATCCTGGCAGGGGTATTACCACCATGATAGACTCTCCAGTCAATGGAGAGTGGTTATCAAGTCTATTTAATGAACTCTGAAAATACCCAGCAGGTCTGAGTACGAACAACACTAGGTGAAACTTTTCCTGAGTCAAAACAAAAGATGGCTAGCAGGGCATAATTTAACGTCCTAGGGCTCTAACTGCCACCTAACAGCACATAGGGCACTGGCAATCCACCAGAGCGTTCTTAGAATGTCTCTCACAGGCCCTGTGCTACTTCTAAGAATTCCTATTATAGTGTTTCATTAAATGTAATATGATCTACAATCCCTCTGTCTTCTCCTCAAGAAGTAATTACAGAAGAACAGGAGTGTCAGCATTTTTCCAGCTCGTCAATGAAACAGGGTAATTAAATCCTGGCAAGCGCTGTTCATAAACCAGGCATAA